ATATAAGTGATCCAACAAAAGAGTGTAATCAGAGTGTTTTTTATGGATGAGCATGGATTATATCATATTACATCATATTACATCCCATGAAAAACACTCATAATGACAGTGGTGAGTATATCAAAAAAAATATCCTATTATATCCATGTATAAATCATGACAATATTTCATCAATGATATCAAAAACACTCTTACCATTATCATTATACACTCCTCCTAAATGGATATAATGGGATATAATGTTTTTTGGTGAGTATATCCATTACTACATATATATATATATACATATATATATATATTCCATATGTAATGTATCCCATATATATATATATATATATATATATCTTATATATCTTATATATCTTATATATATAGCCCATTATATATTTCCCATTATATCCCATATATATATAATCCATCCCGTGGGATCCCGGATGCTCCAAGCAGCGTGCACTTGACCTTTTAGAATCCCGATGGTCGCGGGCACAACACCTCTGTCACGAAGCACGGCCTCCAGAACGCTTGGAACAACTGAAAAAGCTGCCGAAGGAAATATACTTGTGAATTATGATATTATGATATATTATGCATATATAGATATAGTATGATATAGTATGATATAGTATGATGTAGTATGATATAGTATGATATAGTATGATATAGTATGATATAGTATGATATAGTATTGCACACAATCACACATGTATGCAATAGACGTTTGACATGTACTGAGATGTTCCGAGCAGCTACAAACTCCTGACAGAGACCGATCCCTCACCGTCCTCCACTTCCAAGGCCGTCTTCAGATTCTGGGGATATGGCCTCAGGTCAGTTGTGCCCGTTGTGCCCGTTATGCCCGTCATGCCCGTCGCCGTGCTGGTGACTGGACCACTGTAGATGACTCAGATGACTGTCATTCCAAACAGATTCACATGGCATGAATAATCAGAAGCACATGCCCATGGATCCTATGGCTGCGTTTAAAAGTGGTTGTGAGTGGTATAGCCATGCAGATTTTTGGTGTTGAGCACTTGGATTCAATGTGTTCTATCATCCCATCATGACGCTCACCCGCAACCTAAATGGAGAAGCTGAGCCGGAAATCGACAGTGGGATGCCCCATGAAGTATGCCAGCCCTGGAAAGCCATAGGAAAGCCATCGATTTGCTCAGTCTCAGGTTGGCTTTTCACCTTAAGGTTGGCTTTCACCAGGGGTTGGTAACTGTCCCATTTTGGGTTTATATTGGACATCACCTTATAGTAGCCATCTAGTAGACCATATACCTAATGGTTGGGTGATGTTCAATGGGGACACTTAAGCATGGCACCCCGGTGACTGTTCGGTGAAACCGTCAGCGGTCTGTTGGGCCGCGACATGCCATGGGAGATGATCGTGGACTCCAGGGCCTCGCAGGATCACAGCATGTCGTCGATACCCAACCTGGTTATGATTAACATAGCCATGGTTTTAAGCCATGGCCCATTTAAAGATGGTGTACCTATTAAAAAAATGGTGGATCTTTCCATGGCGAACTGTTAGTCATAACATGTCATAACCAGATGGTACATACACTCATTATCACTCATTCATGCCTATCTGCATATAATACTTACCTATGGAATCTATGTCGACAGACTCTGTGCCACTTGGTGCCCAAAACACTTGACAAACTTGGCGAGGGGCCACGACAGGTCGATGCTCACGCAACGCATCTTCGACCTACCGGAGATCATCCCTGGGATGTGTATCAAAGAAAAAATAATGTATTGAATTGTATTTCTAAAGTGTCATCACTACTGATCCAATCATCATCATCATCATCATCATCATCATCATAATCATCATAATCATCATTAATAATATTAATAATATTAATAATAATGTATTGAATTGTATTGACAAGACTCTAAGCAAGGCCTGAAAATCCATGTTCAAGCATTTCGTTTCTGCATTGGAAACATGTGCCTCCGGCGAGATGGTCAGCCAGTTCATGGCGCTGCGAACCGGTAACGGGGTCTCCCTGAAACACGTCTCTTTATATGATGAGTTGAAAAACCTGCTGGCATGAAGTAGGATGAAATCGGATTGTTCTAGATCGTTCTAGATTAGGATTGACAAGGGTCTTGTTTGGCTCCGCTTTCAAAGTCATCGGTGTTTGTGTGAAAGTGAAGACTTCTTGCAACTGCGGTACACAGAATCAACCAATCCATCCAAGCGCTTGGAAGTTCAAAAAGTCGATTGCTCGCTGCTTGTTACTGGATCCGAGAAGCCGGCTAAAAAACAACATTGGTATGTATAATCCACTATACATACATATTATATACATATTGTGTATATTATATATATATATGTGACTACATACATACATGTCTTATATATTCTTATATATTCTTATATGATGATATCGTTGCGTATACATGGGTGTAATGCATGCACACTAATATGCACAAATGCAGCTTTCTCGGAATGAATGTTGAGAGGACATACTTCAGCATCTAGAATCTATAAATTCTGCAGATCCCACCACTCTGCACATCGCGGATCTTTTTGGAACGATTTCAGAGCTCAAACCCGACACATGTCGAGCACATAAATCTTCTGGGACACGAGGCCGAGGCACGAGGCTGCAAGTTTAGCGATCAAAAAAAGGACGATACGTACGGACCAGTGCAATGAAGAGAATCTTTCTATCATTCCTTTTATTTGAGAGTTCTATATTGTCCTATCATGTCCTATCACGATTTTCTGCAAGGATGTAAGGAGGGGGACCTGATCTTGATGACCATCAAAGGCAGCAACACAGGCCCGTCACCACCCCGTCTCACTTCTGTGGTGCATCACTGATTTTTCATGATTTTGAGGGGCCCAGCGATGTTGATCTGTTGATCCCCCGCTTCGTTATCGACATCATCTGCTGCCTTGGGCTGCCGGTGTGCCCCGCGGTCTCTGCGGCGGACATTTGGAGGCCGCACTGTCAGTGGAGGTTGATGTTGATCGAATCTGTATATCTTGGAGATCGTAAAACATCTGGACTCCAACATTCCGAGATATTCCGAGTATCTCACATATTCTCGCACTTACACTCCATGAATCAGATGAAGTTTGTGTTGGGATCTTTCACTGTCATCATTTCGGCTGCAAGATCCCGCGTTTTTCACATCTTTTCCGACTTTTCCTCTTTATATCCTCAATCTTCTGGATGTCTCTTCGCTTATTTGCTGGGCAGGCAGGGTGCATGAAACCCATTCCAGACAGCTGCTACTAAGATCTCCAGTCTGTTGGATCAGACCCAAGAAAGAAGCGGGGTGTCTTGAAGTCTTGCACTGCAGCAGTGTACAACAGAATTGCACCCCAAGCTCGTTTGTCTTGATGGATCTTTAATGATCTTTATGGCTTGTTGCGTCGGAACATTCCAACCTGACATCCTACGGTCCAACATCCCCACTGCCCTGTGGGCCCCCTTAGCTGCTTGTGCAGCCGAAGTCGTCATGGCACGGCTGCCGTGTCAGGCAACCCATGCGTGAAGGAACACCGAGCGAAAAATGGGTCATTGGTCTTCATTCTTCTTGACATCCAAATTTGGGTATTTGCCATGAACGGGACAAAAAAACGCACGAAAAATGGGTGGACTTTCAAAAAATGCTTTTAATGGGAAGGAAAAACATGCAAAGTTCAAAGTTTGAGCCCTGGTGTTCTGCCAAGAACTGCACGCGCCGATTTGGCCCCCATTCTCGCCATCCATAAGATACCACAAGTGACCAGTTGCAACACCAAACATGACTGGTCAGCGAGGCCAAACCGGTCGCGCGTCTCACGAACTACCTGGCGGATCTTTGTCACTGCAAAACCATGCCTGGCCAGGCATGGAACACCACCAGTTTTTTGCGCTGCAAGAAACACCCGATCAGCGGCTGATCAAGGTTGGGGGTGATGTTTTGAAAATGATGCTGACAGGATCAAATGGCTGGGTTTTCATGGCCCCAAGCCTCCTGTCATGGCTGATGAAAGCAGTTTTAGTGCATGGTTTATATGTTGACCCTGTTGAAAGTTGCACCAAAACAAAACCTCAATCAATCATAATCATCCATATTTATCCATATTCATCCATCAGATTGCGAGGATTTTCCTGGTCTGACAATGGGGTCGAGACATGTCAATCCTGAAGAACCGGGTCAGCGCCGCAACAGAGAGCCGACCCGAGCCTTGAATTCAGCAGCAAAGGCCGGCTATCTCCTCGACTGTATGTCACACAAAGCAGGAGCAAGCCGGGAAAGTGCGGTCCATGGCAAACAAAAGTTAAGGTTTGTATCATGGACGTAGCTTTCAACGCAACGTTGGATGATGAACCCCCATGACATCTGCGAGGATCTTCGAAGGTCAACGGCTTTGATGCCCGTCTCATAGGGTGACAGAACTGATCTTCATCAATCTTCATCAATCTTAATCTTCTTTCCGATGGCAGGTCCCAAATTTTGATTCTGAAAGGTCCTTACCCATACCATCTCCATATCCAAAATCAATCCCCTGCCATCTTCAAATCTGCTCAGCGCCTACGTTCCATGAGAGGGACGGACTTTCGCTGGGGTCGAGCCATTTGAAAGTCACTCGCCCTGGTGCCGGACAGACATCTGTTGACTATGTCCCATGCTGCAACGCGACTATGGTTATCTTAAGGGGAACTCTGAAAGATGGAAATGGAAGGACATAAATGAAAACAGGCACTTAAATAATCACAAATAGATAAAACAAAACATGATGATGGAGGGGACGTCCACGTAAAGCAAGTCCTTTTGAAACATAGATCAAAATGCCTGACTCCATCGATTTGGCCGGGCTTTGGCGGAACTGCAACGTGGAGTTTCAACCGCGGAGATCTTTCACCATGCAAGGTATGTTCTCAGTTCATGTCTGCGATTTACCAGGATTCATCCAATGAGGTTCTTTGTGACTCCAGGGTTCTATCATGTTCATAGCTGTATCTAAGAGTTTCTAAATATCTGAAGAGCTGCCGCTTTTTCTGGTGCAGAATCAGCTGTCCATAGCTGCCATAGCTGTCCCAGACAGCCACGTCTGAGCAGATCTCAAAGGCAACCATTCCAAAGGCAATTCATACTCTCTTCGAGCACAACTTTCAGAAAGAATCTCTTGAGAATTCCAGCATGTATCCAGGATGTCAACACTCTTCCGAAAGAGCTGCAAAGGTTGATCTACGCAGTGGCAACGATCACCAGTTGCCCCTCAGAACTATCGTTGGACCTATAGCTCCAAATGTCGATCAATGATGGCACCATGTCCGAGCAGTTGACTGGTTTCCCAAGGACGCAAATAGCCAGTCCACCTCCAGGTTGGCCATTCTTTTTGATGGCTCATGATGGCTCTCAGGTCTCAAATTGCACAAATCATCCTCAGAATCCAAAAATCATCCCAAATCACGTCACTAGCGACAGAATCAGCGGTTTTGCAAAGGTCAGTGGCATCCCTGCCACGGTAACGACGGTAACGACGTCTCCGTCGTCTCCGTCGTTGCCGAGGTCCTCGCTGTCCACCACGGAGACAGGGCCCTTGGGAGCCACCTTGGAGGCGGCCATGCGCCACAGGGATGTCACACAAAGAGCGACCCAAGATGCCAAGATCTGCTTCAACCTCAGTGGAAGCGTTGTGAAAAACAACGGAAATCACAGGAAACTCATGGGAAAATCATGGGAAAATGCCAAAAAAATGGGATGCTTGGTGTTTCATTGGGTTCAGAGAAGAATTGATACTAGATTATGATGACGATCATCCAAATGTATTGGGCAGTAAAACTCCATACAGTAATCTTCATCTATAATCGTACATATTGGGAGATGTTGGGATCGTTGCGAAGGCAAAGCTGACAGCATGGTGACCAGCTGCCACCAGGGAAAAAGGCTACAGTCGCCACTGTTTTCCACTGCACCTGTGTATCTTTGTGTCATTTTGTGTCTATCCCAATATGGCTTTGGATAGTTTGGATTCGTGCAATCAAAAGCAATTCCGACAGCAAGGCAACTCCAAGGCATCCGGACAGCCCAGAAGCATGAAATTCGGCAGGCGAAAAGAAGTCGCTTCCGTGTGCAGGGTAAACGACACCTGGAGCCAGGACGGCGATCGTACAAGCTGGTGCATCATGCTCCTGAAAGGAGACTATGCGATGAAAATCAAGCTCATTTACATGTATTATTTTGTTGATAATATGCAATATTTATACATGTTATGTATGTATATATTATATTATATATATACTATATATATATATATATTATATATTGTATATATATTATATTATGCATTATATTTTAGGTGTGTATATATATATATATTATATCATATCATATTATATTATATTATATTATACTATATAATATCATATTATATCATATCATATTATATTATATCATATCATATTATATTATATTATATTAAGTTATATTATATCATATATTATATTATATGTTATATTATATGTTATATATTGTATATTAAACATTAAATATCATATATTATATATCATATATTATGTATCATATATCATATATTTTAAATCATATATTTTAGATCATATATCATATATCATTGTAATATATATATATATATTATATCATATTATATTTTATTATATTATATTTTATTATATTTATAGTTATAGTTATATGATGTATATTTATATTTAAATTATATTATATTATATATATATTATACTATATTATATTACGTATATTATATTATACTATACTATACTACACTATATTATATCATATTATGACAGATATTGTATACGCCGTAAGTGTAAATGGATCATATGGATACAACATATTTCAAAATAGTTTAAACATAATACATAATGCGATATTCTGATCGACAACATGTGAGGATACATTGCACCAGGTGCCGGCGCCTCCCAACGGGATGCGACCTTCACGATATCCATGGCCCAGAGTTGCGTCCGCATGCGCGTGCGGTCGATGGTTGCAAGGTGTCGCGCCACCAAGGGATCCTCCATATGCTCCTGACATCTGCAAACGTTTGGGCATTGGCTCAGAGCTCTGAGGATCTACCGAAGATCTACCTAAGTATCTACCCAGGTATCTATCTGAATCTCATTCTCGTTCTGGTTGATGAATCAGCCACCTTTTTCATGCTGTGCTCTGCTTAGCAACTGATCTTTTTGTTGGGCTACCATCAGGAGATTGAATCAGCAAGGAAACCCATGGGGAAACCCATGGGGAAACCCCGATCCTCAGGGAGACCGCTGGCCACATATGTGAAACGCTCCTCGCTGCAGCGGCACGTGGAGACATGGACCTCGGGGAGAAACTGAACGTGTCTCTGTGTGTAGGTTGGTTTGCCTGTCACTCTCCCTCTCTCTCTCTCTCTATTATATAATATATATATATATAAATATAATATAATATAATATAATATATTATATTATATATATATTGTATATATTATATATATTATATATTATATTATATATATATACGTATATAATATATAAAGAAAGACATGTTCAAATGTGATTTTATTCCCGTTTGCCTCCTTTTCCTTCGTGGTGAACTCATCAAACAGATCCAAGATCTTCCGCGTAATGACACACAGCAGGCTTATGTCTAAGGTCCGAAGTCATTCAGGAAATAGCTGCAACATGCTGCAACAATCATTACGGTCTACGTTAGAGTCTGTGGATGGGATGTGGCTGGTGCCCCTCCCATCTGGAGACATTTTGGATAATATATATTAATATATCTCATACATTTAGCCGCACCGGAAACTGCAGAACCGGCTTAGCTTCCGAGATGCCCAAACAGATGCGCTTGCGACAGGTGATGCCTTCTGCTGTGTACAAAGCACAGCCCATCCTCGATCAATGAAAGAGGAAAATATACTGCCTGCATCATGGATTCCAAAGAGTACTTTCCATAGATTCGTGCTGATTTCATAACCTGACCACATATTCATACGTAATCTGATACATTTGTTATCAGTTTGCTCAATCTCATTCCCCAATATTGGTCATTTTTGCTGATGATCGATCCGTCATGACCGCCCCAAAGCATGAGAATTTGGATCAACGAGCATCGGCTGCGCAGATTGGCCTCTTCACCTTGCTGGTGAAGTCCGTTGCCATCGTAGATCAAGTGGCTCTCGGCATAGGAAGGGTCCCAGAAGCGACGGCAGGAATCCGACACCAGCACCTGATCACTGAAAGTTGCTTCAAACATCTTCAAACATCTCCCCAAATGGGAAAAGTATGGGGAAGTTGCCCCAATATAAAGTCCTTTGGTTGTAAAGGGGCCAGTTTGGTATCATCATTTAGCTATTGGTTGTGGGGGAAGACAACCCCTGATCAACCACAGGGAAAGATGGTGGATGGTTATCTGTTGGAATTGGGCATACCATTGGACCATGGATCCCCCGAAACGATTCGTTCATCCCCAAAAACTTGGAAAATATGTTGCAGATATGGATGAGCCATATGCCAAAAATAGCAGTTGATCCCCAAAAATGCCATTAAAATCATAGGGAATGAATGATTGGACCTAAACCACTGGATTTTGGGGAAACTTTTCCCCATTTTCCCCATGTTCTTTCCAGACCAAGCCATATCAAATCCCCAGGTCGATGTAGCACTCTGACCACATCCGCCATCTCGACGGGGATCGTCGGTCGCATCCATCCACGGAACATGGGCAGCGAATGTCCAGGGATTGTGGTGGTGCTCACCTGCCTTGGCTGCCCCTGGGAAGCGGTAAGATCGGAGGATTCAGTTGGGATCTGCAACCCCCCCCCAAAAAAAAATCGAGAAAATCTGGATTGCTACACCATGAACCATGGGAGTTCAAGAAACACTGTTCGAAGAATTCGAAGATGTTCAAATTCTGGATTGTTAGTATCATAGGACCTCCCAAGGATTGGAATGTAATAATTGACAATGTCAAAACAAATAGCCCATGTGCTAAGTGATTTGCTGATCAAAAAGAAGCACGCTTCAAACCGTTTGGAAGCTAAGATAGAGTATCACCCCAAGTGTCCCAGGCGAACACATTCATGTTACAATGTCACCATCATTCCAATGATCTGCCTTTGTTAAATGGTCAAATCTCTGGCAATTTTATGGCATCTAAAAATTCATAAAAAATCTAAAAGCCAATCATTTTCCATCAACTTCTCAGCTTCAGACCAGTGACACATCGCCCTCGCTGCTCCAGGCAGTCCAGGTCCGTTCCGAGGCCGCTTCCGCCAAGGCCTCCTCGGCCAGGCGTTGCCACGCAGCGGGCAGGCTGGAGCTGCCGTTGAGGTCCGCCATGGAAGGAGAAAGCCAGCGGCCTGACAACAGCCTGAGATCCTGAGATCGTTGTGGTTTTCATATGGTTTTTATATGGTCTCCATGGATCTTTTGCTGTCTCATATGTCTCATGATTCTTGATGATTGGTTCATGATTGATGGTTATTTGATGGCTATTGATGATACATGCTTCTTGTTGAGAACTTCTAGGATTCGTTTCCAGGGTTTTCATTCATGAGTTGGGCAATGGGCCGGTAGCATTTGTTGTTTGCAGGGTTAATGCTTTCCCTCGTCGGCAGGAAGGCAATCAGCTGCCAAAATTCTGGTGCATCTTGGAATGGGGAATACAGATTCTTGCACGGCTGCGATAAGAGCAAGCCAACGCACGTGAAACAAAATGCTCGCACTTTCTGCCAGAGGATTGACTAGATGACTAGATCTTATCAATTCTTATCAGGGTAGGCAGGTCCATGAAGGTCCCAAAAGTCGTTAAATCACCTGCACCACGACTCTGACTCTGACTCTAGCTGTATAGTTCATAACCAGCAAGCCGTAGGTCGGAGTCGTATCCGTCCGCCTTGGGCCTGTTGCCCCATCTCCTCAGGTCATGTTACATGGGATCAATGGGGTATGCTCATCCATCTCATATTGGAATCCAAAGATAATGGGTATATAAATCACCATGAAACTGTATTGCTGACCATCCCCAAAAATAAGTAGGCAATCAAGCTTTTGATCAAGGCACGTTTGTTTAAATATAATAATAATAATAATATTAATATATTATAATAAATGCTATAGTCAAATACCGTCTCACTTGCTTACAACCCCCGACCAACTTCACCAATCATCCTAGCAGGTCCTAGCACTCTTGGGAACTTTGCTGCCACGTTTTGAGATGCTGTCCGCCAAGCTTGGAAGTTTGCTAAATACTGGTTTGCAAACCACACCCAAACAACTCAGTGAGGGAAAGGACCAAGAACAAAACTCAGTCATTCACAATGAAGCAAGCACATAGTCCTAGTCGGCTAATGAATGCTGAGTTTACACAACAAAAACATACAAAAACCATCAAACAATGGGAAACGCCTGTCTGCCCACCACAGTTTTTTCGGTCCCAGCCACAGGAAGCATCGCCATCTCTGCTACTGACGCTGCCACGATGCCCCTCCCGATTTCGGCCACGAGGCTTCACCGGTGGCAGTGGCTGGTCCTCAGCGGCAGTTTGGAGTACTTCAATGGACACTTGGGACAATTATTGGGGCTTATGGATATTTATGGATATTTTATTTATTTATCCATAAATAGATATCCATAAATATCCATAAATGGATATCCCAATTTATGGATGTTTTTGGATTTATTTTGATGGATATTTATGGATATCTAATATTGATGGATGTTGATGCTGGAAAAACCGGCCAATGTTTGGTAGGGTGGTGTGGGTGGGGGTGGGCTATTAACCTTCATGTTGAAATGCACACAATGCACACTATCATAATGCTAGGTTTAAAGTTCAAAAGATCTCCTCTTGCACTTGCTAACTATCTTGATGCTACGTTAACAGGATGTTCTCTTGCGCTTGCAACGAGGCCCAAAGCCAGCCTTGTGGGCGCACACAGGTGGAATCGGTTGCACATGGAAGAAAATCAAAGATAAGATTCCACCGAGCATTCATACTAACATACTAGAAAGAAAGGCAAGATCAACAAAGATTTGATGGCCTACGTGCGGCAGTGGCAGTGGCGCTCAAGGCACAGAAGAGACTGCGTGCTGAGAGCGACTGCCAGGCAACTGCAAAAGCGAGTGAACATGTGAGGGTAAAAAGAGAAGTTGACAGACAAAGGGTTCCAAAACTGTGATAAAGCGCGATTTATTAAAAAACATGATGATATTGAAGAAATTGTTCAGCCTTTCAAAAGGCTATTTTCGCTGCCAAGCGCAAGGGATTCTAGCTTTCAGGGTGAAAATACCGTCCTGTGAATGGTGATTATAAAGCAACTTATAATTGGGATTAATTGGGTGGAAACATTTTGGTCACCCGATTCCCAATGTTCGGACGCATGGCCTACCCGCTTAGCCTCTGACTGAACAGCCACGTAACTTCCCAACTCCCAGGATCATTGAACCAACGCCAGACATCCAACAATAAAGATCAAATTTACAAAAAGTGAATCATTAGATCGTCCTCTAAAAAGGAAAAAAAATCTTCGCCCACTAACGTCTAAGGTCGCTCATGCGTTCCCATACAAGGTATACCAGGCCTTCACAAATTGTGATGGGAAACCCAGAGCTCCAGGGCTCCCCCGCGGGCATGGGAAATGGTTGGTCGATGCCATCCTCATCAAATAGCAATGGCATCCCTGGCGCGTTGCCGCATCCAAGGCCATGAGGCCATCAATCCAAGCCAATGACGGCAGTTATTTTTTTGGCCATGAGGTGGCTCAAAAAATCCATGGTGCCTACACCTCCTGAAGTGGAAAACCTGTGTGGTTTTTCCATATGTTTTTCCTGCAAAATCACCAGAGCAAGGGACTTAAACATGCTGAAGGCAGACACTCGGGATGATCTTGCAGCTGATTCATCACCGGGCTGTTCTTCAACCGTCGAACCTGGGCCGATCAAGTCATGGAAAAAAACGCCACCACGGATGAACCCAGTCTGCCACTTCGAATGAGATATCATATTGGTTGATGGGGTCATACAATATCAAGGTTACATGAAATGTGAATGTATACTTAGAATGTACGGCAACTACATTTAAATGTACGGATGTTTGAATATACGAACTGGTATGTCGTTACCGTACGTATGTGATTCATGATCCAGGTGATTTGATGCTAAAAAAGGGCTGAAGCATCCAAAAAGAAACAAACAAAGACCGTCGCTCAACTCCGACCCCAGGGGTTCCCCACATTCTCAGTGAGGCCCTGGACCCTTGCGGGCGTCACCTTTCTGAATTGGTAGATGAGGGATGATGAAGGATGATGAAGGTAGATCATAGCTGGATAGTGTTCTTTCTGCACCCGACAGCTCATGGCAGCGAACAGCTATCAGCTATTCGGTGGTCAACAAGGAAACGAAGCTATGAATTGTGGATGTGTCGTTTTGTGAGATGATGGCAATTGATGGCACCTCTCCAAAAACAAGCAAGTGTTTGGCAGGCTTTCCTGACCCACTCCTCCAAGTCATTTTTATATAGGGTGGCGTTGCCTGCTGAGTACGGTTCATACCACTAGGCGTCACATCCACCACCCATGACCTTTCCAGATTCCAGGCATTCGAAACCAGGGCTGAAACACTTTTTCCATCATTGAAACGAAGCATTTGGCCATTAATATCATTAATGGCATTAAGATAAACCATGATAAACCCCAAGTCCGAAAAAATCACTTCGCTTCAGATCTTTGACCTCCAAAATTCCCGAGTTTTTGCCTCGACGATCTTTTTGGAGTTGAGGCCCGGTAGACATTTTCGCACGTCCACGCCGTGGAACTGTCCAATGAACCTGGAATTTTGCGGGTCCTGAAAACACCAGTGGAATTCATGTTACCCTCTGGTAAACTAACATAACTATGGAAAATCACCATTTTTAATGGGTAAATGATGCCATTAGTGAATTTGAATTGAATCAGATACAACTACTATACAGTATACACATGTATACACTAGTCATCATTGTCCATCAAAGATCTCGTGAATGTCTGCGTCATTGGATGTGCTTATCCTAGCGCCATGAGCTTGGCTTCGTGGAACCAACGCCCTATCGCCTCTCACAGACATCCTGTGTGCGGAAGTTAATGAAGCCGTACCTATCATGGCAGTGCGCGTGGAGGGATGTTATCACCCACGTTGGAGAATCATCTTCCCAATCTTTGCGCTCGCTGCTTCATAAGCACCAAAGTATGGCTATACTTTAGAGTCCTAAGGTACAAGGTAGATACCAGTTTGATGCTGATGATGCTGTTATATCTGTTATCATCCAAACTCTTTACTTGCAACATTGGATGATCCCTGCAACAACCTCATGAAAATGGCACTTGTCAAATCTTGTCAAACCGAACGCGGATGTTTCTTCGGTGTCGCTGGGGCAAAGGGCACCCGACATTGCACTTGTTCTTGAAGTCAATGGGGAGGTACATGAAGTCAAACCTGCGAAAAGGCGGCGTTATCTGCCGTCAGTCTGAGAACATGGAAGAACCGATCATCCGTTTTGAGAGTTTTTCCAAGGCAAAGATCATGAAATGTGGAACAAATATGGAACAAATATGGAATGATGTGGTTAGATTATCGATATCTCTGGTTCTGGGATCCCAGGGTACAATTTTCTGCGATTTTTTGTGCTTTGGGATCCCTGGGCTCCCGGACTCGCCCGAAAATTCGAGGCTCAGCTGCTTGATCAACATCTCTCTGGTGTACCTGGTACCATGTCCAGTGGCTGGCAATTTAAGCACCATGCAAGATTTATAATCCATGTTTCAACATATCTGGTCCAATATATCTTGTAACACCCCTTGTAAACGACTTTTTTTAATTGACTTAAGATCATTTTTGTGTGGCTTCTCCAAAAACTGTGCCCAATGCTTAGAGCGCATCCCTTGCCACTGCGAGGCACTTGTTGGGGATATTTCGAAGCATGACCGTCGTGTACGGCCTGGCGGCCATGGGGATGACCCATTCGGAACTCAACGAGTTCATCACGAGTTCATCACGTGGTTGGTGATATACTGTTAATATTAAATTAATGGTTATTATATGGTTAATGATGGTTCATAATCATCTGGTTGGTGGTCTCAACCTACCCCTCTGAGTAGGAGTTCGTCACTTGGGATGATGACATTCCCAATATGATGGGAAAAATAAAATTCATGTTCCAAACCACCAACCAGGTATCATATCTTGTCATATCTTTCAAGGGTTTCCCAAAATGGGGGATTCTGTATAGCAGCTCCAGCCATAGAACACAACAAGTACCCGCAGTCCTCCATACTTCAAGCATCTTAAATTAAGAACTTGAAGGACTACATCCAACAAACACAACACAACCTCCGAACACTTCCAATTCCCACTGGGTCTCCGCGGCTCGTTACCCTCGGGGCGTTCCTGGGCTTGTCCCATAAATGGCCCGGTTTGAAACCACTGGCCATCCATGTAGCAAAAAAAAATGGAGGTCACTACCTCCGCCCCACTGGACATCTCCCTAGATCCATAGCTCGATGAGCTTCGTAGGGAATGGCCGGCGTCTTCTTCTCCTTGGAAGATTCGCCTGGATCCCCAGGTGCACAGTAGACGCAGATGGGTCAATTATTTAAGGCCGCAGTTGGTCATGTTCTAAGGCAATATCAGAAAACATCAATAGACCGTTTAATTCATTATATGTCACATTATTTCATTGTATTATGTATACCTTGAGAACCAAAACCCGAAGAAATCCTAGGGTGTCAAAAATAACCAGGGTTTTGGAGGTATTTTTATCCATTCTAAAAGTACGGGCTAGGTACGGGTTAGTACGGGTTAGGCACGGGTTAAGTATAGCTTCAAAATCAATACCCGAGGTCTTCAATCGAAAACTGAGGTTTTCTGTTTTTTTCTGAAATACCTCCGGTTCTTGTATTGACCCGAAGAATTCTTAGGGTTTGGGTGCTCCAGGTATTTATGTATATATATGTATAAATATGTATAATTTGGTCTTCCAGAAGTGTGACCCACACCATGGAAACAACGGCCAGAGCCAAGGTCAGAGTCAATCTCAAAGGGACATTAGCTGGTGCCTTGGACGTATCGAAACCGTGATTCATCCGCCCTGACCTGCTTTGCTCTCAACCTTCTCTTTGGACGCCTGCACATGCTCAGCTGTGACTGACCTTTCTGGAATCTGAAGACAACGAACAACACCAGGGCAAATATTGAAAACTCTCTATCATGGGTATTATGGTCATGGTGCACAGTATATACTTCGACTCAGGCGACAGGCGGCAAGCAGAAGACTTGTTTTGGCTCTAAAATTGAAGGTGCATGCACAAACAAGAGAAATGGATCCAAGGATATTTCTGTCACCATAAAGAGAAAGCCGTACACCAGGATGACGTTGTATTATGATGTTGCACTCGTGTGTCGAATCGATAAGGAATTTGCAGAAGCTCCCGATGGAAAGGTACAGAAACAGGCAGCGGCCTCCCGTTCACCTCTTGCCTCGGGGGGCTCTGCCATCCTTTATCCATCTCTATCCATTCTGGGTTGAAGCAGGGCTATGTTTGATGACAGCCAGCATCAAGCCAAAGAAGATTATGCGGCAGTGCCCCGTGAATTACGGGTAGATCAGCACCAGGCGCCATTTTCAAACATTTTCAACATTTACCAGGCGCCATTTTCAACATTTATACCAGGATTTTGTGCACCTTGATGCTCTAAAAAGATCCATTGAAGCTCAAATTGAAATTATGGTTGCACCATGTTGCACCACCTGGATGGTCATACGGCTGAATCTGAAAGGAAAAGGTGTTTGAAAATCTGGCAACCATTTGTGATACTCGAGGAGAGTCAAGGTACAGGTAGGATACTTTAGAGCCTACGAGGATTGCCGCGGGAAGTGGTGCCAATCATCTACTAATATCTATCTATATCTGATGATTGCAACACCAACCCCAACTTAATCTTTCTGATATATGTTTTGGAAAGGCAACCCAGCCCGTGCTTCCCCAAGACCCTCACCCTATCTTCTTTTCCTGTGCCTTTCTCTGCCTGATTTCGCCCACAAAGACATAAGAACCGCAAACAATTGATGCCACTACGATATTATCAGCAAAACAAACCATGGTCACTAAAAATGATGTGGTTTCAATCTCGCCATAAATTTCTATCCCAACATTGACAATGTGTGCTTCATTATATATATATATATATCCATCTGTTGGAGCTGTTCATCGATCTCCTGGCCATGGACGCCATGGACATCATTTAGGTATTTAGACCAGCTGCGTTGCTTGTCACTTGTGAGAAGTCGAAGTAGTCGAAGTTCCATCCGAAGCTGGAGCAAATCAAATCAAATCAATATCTTCCATCAGAATTGCTCCATCAACAAAATTTATCAGAGAAATTTCTGCACTTCGCCATCCATCACCATCACCCCATCACCATCCGGCGCCTTGCCCTTTCCTTTGCCTTTTCTCTTCTCCTCCTGCGCTTCGGCCGGACAAAAACCCTGGATACTGTGCACGGTGATCATCGCCGCAGTGGAGAAACATGGAGAAACTACGAATTATGTGTACATGATTTACGTATGAGAAACTACGAATTGTCCATTCCATGTTTGTTGAAGAGGGTACTGTGTCATGATATGTCATGATATGTCATGTGTCAGTCCTTTCTGGTGTCTTCCCAGGTTGGCCAGTCCCAATCTTCGCGCCATTCACGCTTTCCTGAGTCCTGGCACAATGAGGCTGCTCAGCGTGCTCCTCGTTGCAATATGATCAAGTTCTGCTGAAAGGTGGATACTCCGATTGAAAGAAAAATGTCGAAATTGTGTCTGTTGAAAGCATCCAAAATCCGCCCTGCCTGCCACGAACTGTCTCGCCAGTCCCAGGAGTTCTGCCAGTCGTTCCATTTCGAGTTGTCATGCCTCAGGACGGATCCTGGGAAGCTGATGATGAAATTGATGAATACACATTCATTTTATGGTTCAAATGTCTACAAAGTTGGTACCAAGCTGCGAAATCACAGACTTTTCTCAATTTCTGTTGCTAAAATCTCCGTCTTTGTCCCACCCCCCTTTCCGTTGGGTACAGTATCCACGTTTTTTCGTTTACCACCAAGCAGGTTTTCAATAGAGGTCCAGCTTCCACCCCTGAGAAAATGATGTGCAGTTCCAAGCAGCTCCCAACTCTTTCGCCTCTCTCCATTGGTTGCCGGCTGAGCCTTGTGACTGGTGCTGCACGTAGATATCATAGATATTCATGTGTAGTAATGATGAAGGGTGATGAATGATGTCTATATATATAATGTATGCCAACATATGCCAACATCATCTCACATCCAATTATCCACATCTACCATCATCTGCCATCATCTACCCACAAACATTTCCAAAGCCACATTCCTCGTAGATTCCCATCGCCCGCCCGGGCCTCGTTGCTGTTGGACCAGCCGTGCTCGTTCCGGTCGCGGTCGCGGTCGCGGTGCTCGCGGTCGCGGTCGCGGTCCTTGCCGTTGCGCATCTCGCGGTGCTCCTTCTCTGGCGTGGTGGCCTTCTCAGCGGCTTCCTGGAGCCATGGGCGGAATGGCCGAGGGAAACTGGAGGGAAATGGAGGGAAACTCTGGGAAATTCAAGTGGGATGATATCAGTCCATATCAGTCCTATCTTCGAATTCTAACTTTCTGGGTGTCAGTTTCTATGCCGCAAATGACAGCAGTGTCCTCCTCCCTCCTCAGCTCGGTGATCTGGGCGAGGTGTTCCTCCAGGGTGCACCCTTCCATCCACAGGACGGCAGGACGGCACTTGGATCTGCAGCTGGATGATCCAGTTTGAATATCTGATATATATCTGATTCATACTTCACTTGGAATTTCTGCACTGCAACATCAATCCCAATTAGACCACCCCTCAGTTGAACATGATTTGCCATTGCTGCTATTGGATCCGGTTTCTGTCTAATGATGGGGGATGGGGTGGATGTCCATCCCTGGAATGGCAGCACCGGGTTGTCGAAACATTCCAAAACATCAGCTACAATTCGCATCCCCGTTACAGCAATAAAAATCAGGATCAACATTCAACATAGGAATACTATATGTATATAATTGTATATATATATATGCACAATCATCATCACCACCACCACCATCATCATACCCACCCAAGGCCCAGCATCTCACCCCACGAACCCAACAGTCCCAACAGTCCTGAACTTGCTCTACGTAATCCTGTTCCAGTTCTGCTTCCTGAGAATCCGGTCTCCCTGCCTGTGGCCACTGGACAGAAACGCACACTGATTCAAAGTTGATGCAGTTCCCTTACAGCTACCAAAGTCATCCAAAGTCATCTGACCAACAGATCACTTTGGGGAAAATCTACAGCATTGACCATTGGGACCATGGTCAAATGACCGGAATTTTGAAGGTACCCCAAAAGGTCCAAAGAATCTCACGGCACCTGCATCTCGGCTGTCTGCATCTCTGCCGCACGCTGCAGCTCCTGAAGGATCCCTTCGTCAACTTGCGAAATTCAGAAATGACCTGAACTTTCCTTAAATGTATCCAAATATCTGGTAAATATCATCAAATATCTGGTGATTGACATTACAAAATGATTCTCTTCGGTTCCTTTCAAGGGCGGTTCCTTTGAATAGCTGCCACTTACATTCTCCATCGTTCTTGGCAAGTTTGCAAGCTTCACGTCCAGTGGGTTCAGGTTTCTTCACATTTGACACACAGAGTTACAAAGGCATTTGCTATTCCCATTGTCAATGAATATGGCTCCAAGAATAATGTAGAAAGAGCCACATTAAAATCATATGAGACTCTCAAAGAAATGCCTCCTAGCTGCAAGCGGGGCCATTCCTCACCACGTTCCAGGTTTTTGGAAGTTCCTACAGTTCCTGCCATTCCTTCACCGTCCTGTTGAAACTCCGGACTCATGATGGTTTGCCTAGGCAGTCTCGAGTCACCTCCATTTGGAACATAGCCATGGAAAATCCACCCATTTTTAATAGGTAAACCATCTATAAATGGGCCATTTCCCATGGCTATGTTAAATAACCAGAGGGTAAACATCTGGAAGCTCCGGGCTTGACACCAGGGCCCCAGGGCCCCAACCCGTCCATGGCCATCGATCCATCCATCCCCATCTGCCAGAAAGGCATAAACCTCGGACAAAAAACGCCGGCCAGATGTGGTCGCGCTTGTTTCAAGCCCACTTGTAAAGCACACATCCTTTGAATCATCAGAAAAATCATACCGTAGTACATATAATCTATCATATAATAGCAAATAATAGCTAATATCATATAATAATATATCATATCATAGTCATTAAAGTCTATATCATGGTCTGTATTAGTATCAAATAGTATGTAAGGCCTATGTATAATAAAATCAGAGGGTGCGATTCAGCATAGAGATCGGCTAAGCTTCAGCACATGCTCTGCATGTAGTTTTCTTGGCACATCTCTGGGGTCATGAAGGCCATTCCCTGCCGGCACGGTTGCGAATGTCCAAAACTGGAAGGAAAAACACATCATTTTGGCCACAGCAAACATGTATATATATATACTATATATATAGTCATATGTAGTCATATAGTATCATATATAGGATATTATAAGATAATATCATGTAGTCATGTCAGTATCATATTGTACCACAGAAAAATGTTTGAAAGCGGTTTGGTCTTTGAATTCCGGAGGCTCAGAGTTCAGTGTGGCTCAGGATTCTAGTGGTTGGTTCATGGTGTGTAGTCGTCACCCCAAGGGACAAATGACGGTTCCAAATAGTATTGGACCATATTGGAAGAAAAACAAGATAGAACATGGAACCGGTGACCAACATTGAGATCATTGAGTTTTGGCCAATGCTTGAATGATGACATCCTCTCCATGGTCTGTGCTTGAGGCGTCCCCAAAGGCGCCTGGAAACCACCGTTCATGGCCAGTTCCTTGGTCCATGAGAGCAGCCATGCTGTTGGAAACAGACCTGAAAAACCTCTTGATTCTTAAAATGACAGTCGAGCGAAAGAGAAAAACCCTACCTTGTTTGATTGAAATACACAATAAGTTGTTAGAACTGGGTAACCGCACAGAGTAGTCCATCTCACCATTCTCCTGGCTTTGGGACATCGCACAACATCGCGAAAGCAAAAAAGTGGCCTTGCCGAAACCTCGAAAAGACTCAAAAACAATAGAAAAATTGAATTGTTTAAACACAAAAAATAAAATGATGCGTAGCCTGTCCCTCAAGCGTTCGTGACACATTCACAACCCCACAAACGTCACAGCACCTCGCCATCGTAGGCAGGAGGTAAACCTCAGATCCCAGTCAACTCATTTGTGAAGTGAGGAGTAATTAGTCAACACGATTCTTTGTCACTTGCGAGAGGGTGCAGTTACGAGTTTCTATGTGAGCTCCTGGCCAGAGAGGGGGCACTTTTTCTGTGCGGGTTCCCAAGTTCTGGCACTTTTTCTAGGTTGGTTTCGGCACTTGCTGAGCCCTCAGCCCATCTCTGGCATGTAGCCATAGCCATTGAAGTCGGCCTTGCTAACCCGCTGGATCCCTCACTGGGTGACTGGGAGATAGGATTATGTCCAGTTAAGGAATTATACAGAAAAGATGTAGACTAGATCCAAGAGATATCTCCAATTCATCACTTGAAACAGCGCAGGATTGCTCGGTTTCCGATTGCATGCTGCCTGTGGCGGGAAGGATGACTGCAAGAATGGCGAAGGTGTGGTCGGCACCACATACCTGTCAGCTGCAGTTGTGCTCAACTTGCCATTCCCGAGTTCAGCTACATGTCAGCCTAAGCAAAAATCAATGCAGCATCGTGTGACCCGGATAATTACATCGAAAGATAATATTACCACTCCCACTTATATTGAGTTTATAAATGTGTTTAAATGCTAAGTTCCTATCAAACTGTTTGGGACCAACTTCGGCACAATCCAGGGTGAACCACTGAAAAATGTGTGTGTGTGTGTGCCCGCGCCCAGCCACTAAAACATGGAACGAACCCACGTTGTGCCCAAAGATGTCTCCATACTAATCATTCATCATCATTCCTGTGGGATTGCAATTCCCAGATGCAATTTCTGCATTCATAAAAAGTACAGTATATAAACTTATATAGATTGGTGGTTTTACTACAAATACTCCCAATGAGTTTCCTCATTTTCCCAGCTTTTCCCAGCTTTTCCCCAACTTCTGTCGGCGGACGCTGGTTCATTGCCCATGTTGGCGGCCTGAGACACGGATCCCATGTCCGGTCGTGACGAAAAATTCGGTCGTCCAGAATTGGGGCTGAGCTTTCGGACCACTTGTGCCACAGACTCGCCATTGGATGATGTCCTGAAACGTCAAAAAACGGCGGTTCAGAAATGTGGTCCTGAAAAATCTACTGTTTGTGGAGATCATCCAATGGCGTTTCACACCACAAAAATTTCGGATTTGTTTGTGGTGTGTAAAACTCACCAGCAAAAATATACTGTGGATGTCAGGATGTCACCAGAAAATTTGTATGAGATCAACAGGGCATTGGAAATGATCGCATCAAGCGTTGCGTGGTGCAAAAAGACACTGAAACATCCATTTATGAAACATTATAAAACGACAGTGGTTGATGTTGATAGAGAAGCTTCCGAAAGTTCCGAAAGGGTAAAAACAATCAGTTCAAGCCGCTGTTTCCCAAGTGGCACCGAGATGTGTGATGCCGTTGTCCCACGCTGATCCTCTTGCGAGTCTTTGGAAAATGTGTCGTTGGTGAATCTCCCTCCACCTGGTGATGGGAGATCCGGCATCAAGGGAAGTGGAATGAAAAGAGTCCAGTAAAATCTGAACTTTCAATGCTTTCAATGCAAATTCATGCAAGTAGTCTGTCGCCTAGCACATTCAATCATGATCAATCATGTCTGAGGCGCTACTATCCCTACTGTGTGCAAATGATTGCAACATACTGAAACTGGTGCCGATGAAGCTACCAAATGGTTCATGATTGAACCATCCAAAATGGGGTGTATGTCGTTATCTTTGTTGATTAAACCTGCAACTAAGTGCTTCAATGTGTTCAATGGCTTTGATCAATATTAATGCAGTTGTATCCATCATGTTGTTACGTAAACCATCCAATGAAAAACGCGCTTTTCCATGATATATGTCCAAAAATAATATGTTTAATCTTCATAGATGTCCATTAATATATCCAATATAATATCACCAAAGTAATCATAGTATAATCTCCAAAATAAAGTACTAATGTTGGCTAATACTCTATAATAATCCTAATCATAAATATATTCAAAGAAAAAATACTATTCATAAACATATCATAGAGAGAATACTCTATATTCATAATAATACTCTATATATATAATAATTAATACTATTCATAAATACATGATAATACTAGTCATAAACATATATCATAATACTGTATATATATAGCTAGGATTATTAACACTTTTCAGAATACCCTTTGGTTATTTGACATAGCTATGGAAAATGACCAATTTATAGTCGATAAACATTATATGTTATGATGATTTAACTATTAAACATGGTGATTGTGCATAGCTATGTTCAACAACCAGAGGGTATATCCCAATCAAATCCCATTAAACCCTTAAACCCTATTAAACCCTATTAATCCCATTAAGTCAAATCCCAATCAAATCCCATTAAACCCAGAGGGTATATTAAATCCCTATTAAGTCCAGATATTTACTACCATCTGGTTATTTAACATAGCCATGGTTGATGGGAAAATCATCTATTTCTATGGCATAGTGGGCCATCTATACCATGGCTATGTTAAATATAACCAGAGGGTATAACCCAATCAAATCCCATTAAACCCTTAAACCCTATTAAACCCTATTAATCCCATTAAGTCAAATCCCAATCAAATCCCATTAAACCCAGAGGGTATATTAAATCCCTATTAAGTCCAGATATGTATTACCATCTGGTTATTTAACATAGCCATGGTTGATGGGAAAATCATCTATTTCTATGGCATAGTGGGCCATCTATACCATGGCTATGTTAAATATAACCAGAGGGTATAACCCAATCAAATCCCATTAAACCCTTAAACCCTATTAAACCCTATTAATCCCATTAAGCCAAATCCCAATCAAATCCCATTAAACCCAGAGGGTATATTAAATCCCTATTAAGTCCAGATATGTATTACCATCTGGTTATTTAACATAGCCATGGTTGATGGGAAAATCATCTATTTCTATGGCATAGTGGGCCATCTATACCATGGCTATGTTAAATATAACCAGAGGGTATAACCCAATCAAATCCCATTAAACCCTTAAACCATATTAAACCCTATTAATCCCATTAAGCCAAATCCCAATCAAATCCCATTAAACCCAGAGGGTATATTAAATCCCTATTAAGTCCAGATATGTATTACCATCTGGTTATTTAACATAGCCATGGTTGATGGGAAAATCATCTATTTCTATGGCATAGTGGGCCATCTATACCATGGCTATGTTAAATATAACCAGAGGGTATAACCCAATCAAATCCCATTAAACCCTTAAACCCTATTAAACCCTATTAATCCCATTAAGCCAAATCCCAATCAAATCCCATTAAACCCAGAGGGTATATTAAATCCCTATTAAGTCCAGATATGTATTACCATCTGGTTATTTAACATAGCCATGGTTGATGGGAAAATCATCTATTTCTATGGCATAGTGGGCCATCTATACCATGGCTATGTTAAATATAACCAGAGGGTATAACCCAATCAAATCCCATTAAACCCTTAAACCATATTAAACCCTATTAATCCCATTAAGCCAAATCCCAATCAAATCCCATTAAACCCAGAGGGTATATTAAATCCCTATTAAGTCCAGATATGTATTACCATCTGGTTATTTAACATAGCCATGGTTGATGGGAAAATCATCTATTTCTATGGCATAGTGGGCCATCTATACCATGGCTATGTTAAATATAACCAGAGGGTATAACCCAATCAAATCCCATTAAACCCTTAAACCCTATTAAACCCTATTAATCCCATTAAGCCAAATCCCAATCAAATCCCATTAAACCCAGAGGGTATATTAAATCCCTATTAAGTCCAGATATGTATTACCATCTGGTTATTTAACATAGCCATGGTTGATGGGAAAATCATCTATTTCTATGGCATAGTGGGCCATCTATACCATGGCTATGTTAAATATAACCAGAGGGTATAACCCAATCAAATCCCATTAAACCCTTAAACCATATTAAACCCTATTAATCCCATTAAGCCAAATCCCAATCAAATCCCATTAAACCCAGAGGGTATATTAAATCCCTATTAAGTCCAGATATGTATTACCATCTGGTTATTTAACATAGCCATGGTTGATGGGAAAATCATCTATTTCTATGGCATAGTGGGCCATCTATACCATGGCTATGTTAAATATAACCAGAGGGTATAACCCAATCAAATCCCATTAAACCCTTAAACCCTATTAAACCCTATTAATCCCATTAAGCCAAATCCCAATCAAATCCCATTAAACCCAGAGGGTATATTAAATCCCTATTAAGTCCAGATATGTATTACCATCTGGTTATTTAACATAGCCATGGTTGATGGGAAAATCATCTATTTCTATGGCATAGTGGGCCATCTATACCATGGCTATGTTAAATATAACCAGAGGGTATAACCCAATCAAATCCCATTAAACCCTTAAACCCTATTAAACCCTATTAATCCCATTAAGCCAAATCCCAATCAAATCCCATTAAACCCAGAGGGTATATTAAATCCCTATTAAGTCCAGATATGTATTACCATCTGGTTATTTAACATAGCCATGGTTGATGGGAAAATCATCTATTTCTATGGCATAGTGGGCCATCTATACCATGGCTATGTTAAATATAACCAGAGGGTATAACCCAATCAAATCCCATTAAACCCTTAAACCCTATTAAACCCTATTAATCCCATTAAGTCAAATCCCAATCAAATCCCATTAAACCCAGAGGGTATATTAAATCCCTATTAAGTCCAGATATGTATTACCATCTGGTTATTTAACATAGCCATGGTTGATGGGAAAATCATCTATTTCTATGGCATAGTGGGCCATCTATACCATGGCTATGTTAAATATAGCCAGAGGGTATAACCCAATCAAATCCCATTAAACCCTTAAACCCTATTAAACCCTATTAATCCCATTAAGTCAAATCCCAATCAAATCCCATTAAACCCAGAGGGTATATTAAATCCCTATTAAGTCCAGATATGTATTACCATCTGGTTATTTAACATAGCCATGGTTGATGGTATAACCCTATGGATCCAATTCTCCAGAGATCCCGTGAAGGATCCCACGATCGGATCGATTCGGGCCGCACCTGCGCGGCCTCCTCCAACATCTCGAAGTCCACTTCGTCGATGGGCACCGCCTAGGAAGTCCAACCGGTCGATTTTCGATGCGCGTCCTTTGGTAAACCAGAGGAAAACCATGGAAAACATGGGAAAACCGTAGGAAACCCCTAGGAAAATCATCGGAAAACATGGGAAAACCATAGGAAAATCATGGGAAAATCATGGGAAAACATGGGAAATCATCTGTAAATCATCTGTAAATGGGAAAATCCCACTGGGAATCATCTGTAAATGGGAAAATCCCACTGGGAATCATCTGTATGGAAATCCTACTGGGAAATCATCATTTTTATCTGTAGGAAAATCATTTACAAATATGTTGTATCTGTAAATGGTAAAATCGTTGGTTTTTCGTGGGAAATCCTCAAATGGTCATCAAACATGACCTGGTTTTGTCCCCAATCTCCGCGCGCCGGTCTCTGGGATGATCTCCCGACATGAACGAGATTTCAGAGATCGAAGGAAGTTCAATAACTTCATGTTTGCCCAAAGAAAAAAAAATATTTGAATACATCATACTACATCATAATACATCATAATACGTCATAATACATCATACTACATCATAATACATCATAATACGTCATAATACATCATACTACATCATAATATATCATAATACGTCATAATACATCATACTACATCATACTACATCATAATACATCATAATACGTCATAATACATCATAATACGTCATAATACATCACACTACATCATAATACATCATAATACGTCATAATACATCATACTACATCATACTACATCATAATACATCATAATACGTCATAGTACATCATACTACATCATAATACATCATAATACGTCATAATACATCATACTACATCATAATACATCATAATACGTCATAATACATCATACTACATCATAATACATCATAATACGTCATAATACATCATACTACATCATAATACATCATAATACGTCATAATACATCATACTACATCATAATACATCATAATACGTCATAATACGTCATAATACATCATAATACATCATAATACGTCATAATACATCATACTACATCATAATACATCATAATACGTCATAATACATCATACTACATCATACTACATCATAATACATCATAATACGTCATAATACATCATACTACATCATAATACATCATAATACGTCATAATACATCATACTACATCATAATACATCATAATACGTCATAATACATCATACTACATCATAATACATCATAATACGTCATAATACATCATACTACATCATAATACATCATAATACGTCATAATACATCATACTACATCATAATACATCATAATACGTCATAATACATCATACTACATCATACTACATCATAATACATCATAATACGTCATAATACGTCATAATACATCATAATACATCATAATACGTCAAAATACATCATAATACATCATAATACATCATAATACGTCATAATACATCATACTACATCATACTACATCATAATACGTCATAATACGTCATAATACATCATAATACGTCATAATACATCATACTACATCATACTACATCATAATACATCATAATACGTCATAATACATCATACTACATCATAATACATCATAATACGTCATAATACATCATACTACATCATAATACATCATAATACATCATAATACATCATACTACATCATAATACGTCATAATACATCATACTACATCATACTACATCATAATACGTCATAATACATCATACTACATCATAATACATCATAATACGTCATAATACATCATACTACATCATAATACATCATAATACGTCATAATACATCATACTACATCATAATACATCATAATACGTCATAATACATCATAATACGTCATAATACATCATAATACGTCATAATACATCACTATCATAATACATCATACTACATCATAATACATCATAATACGTCATAATACATCATACTACATCATAATACATCATAATACGTCATAATACATCATACTACATCATAATACATCATAATACGTCATAATACATCATACTACATCATACTACATCATAATACGTCAAAATACATCATAATACCTCATAATACGTCATAATACCTCATCGTACATCATCATACATCATCGTACATCATCCTACATCATCATACACCATAATACGTCATAATACATCATAATACGTCATAATACATCATACTACATCATAATACATCATACTACGTCATAATACATCATACTACATCATAATACATCATAATACGTCATAATACATCATACTACATCATAATACATCATAATACATCATACTACATCATACTACATCATAATACATCATAATACGTCATAATACATCATACTACATCATAATACATCATAATACGTCATAATACATCATACTACATCATAATACATCATAATACGTCATAATACATCATACTACATCATAATACATCATAATACGTCATAATACATCATACTACACCATAATACATCATAATACGTCAAAATACATCATAATACCTCATAATACGTCATCATACATCATCGTACATCATCCTACATCATCATACACCATCATACATCATCCTACATCATCATCAATCAAACATAAAATAAATCATCATGTTTTTTTTATCATTTTCACCTATATGTTACATCACTATCATCACTGCGCCTGGCGGGTCTCATCCACAGCTGTCAACCTCGGATTCAAGAAATGTCGTGGAGCAGATCGGCGGAGGAAAACAAGCATCCAACAGCATCCAGTTCATAGTTTAGAAACTAGTATAGTTTAGTTGATTCTTGATGATTCTTGTAGGATATACATCCTTGTTCTCTTCATTTCTGAGAAGTTTCGGGCTCCGAATGGTGAATCATATCCATATCCATGCAGCCATGCCACAACGGCGAGGCATTGGGTGACTTGGAGGCAACCTCAGCTGCAGATAGCTGCAGGCCGTAGCAGCTGAAGCATAAGTGCGACAACAGGCTGAAGAACGCAATGATGGAAGAGTGAGTTGGTTAGTGTTACGGGTTGTCCATGAAAATGTTTTTTTTGAAATATGTTGCATGTAAAAAGCACTACAGTAAGACTGTACAACTCTCAAATCGGAAGTGTACAAGCCGGAAATAGATCGAACTCGTGTCTTGTGCCCAAGCAGCCACCAACGGGGACTTCTTCAAATCATGTCCATCGCTGCGACTGCGCCTGGCAGTCGGAGCAATCAGGGTTTCGCCTCGGTGCCTTGGAAATCCTTGGAAACTCTTCCAACATGGTAAGGATCAGCTGAGATCGAAACATTCAAATCTGATATATATATATATATATATAGAGAGAGAGAGAGATCATATAATAGATATCATACAGATATCATATAGATATCATATAGATATCATGTAGATATCACATATATATATATATATATATTTATACATTATATATCATATAGATATCTAAGATCTCTTGATCCAAGCATGGCAGTATTGAATTTGATACATGAATATTGCCCTCATCATATGGCACCTCTTTCTAAGCGCAGCCTCTTCCTGCGCGGTGCGGCACTGCGGTTTAGGATGGCGATCTACGGTTGCGTCAAAATTCGGGTATGGATCGGCCCGCGGTGATCCGGACGTATGGATGGGTCTGGATCACCTTCGTTTTGGTATGGATCGGGGGTATGGATCGGCCTGTGGGTTCAGGGTGATCGGGCTGTACAATTTGGCTCGCAACCATATGATGAACATATGGGGGTTTCCATACATGGTGGATCCCCAATGATTTATAAGCGAAAATCCCAATCTAAAATGAATGATTTGGGGGTACCCCCATTTTAGGAAACCTCCATATGATGAAAATCTACAGTACCTATTGTGATTCAACCACCTCTAGGCCTCAAACGCAGTCATCCTCCCATTGAGAAGAGGTGCCCAGTTCATCCCGGGTGTGACGCTGACCTCCCCAGTTGAACTTGACCCATAGCCCATCTCATTCCCCATCGGGAAAAAGTCGCGATGGGGTCAAAAATGTCAAAACCCCCTTTATCCCTTTTGTATCGTTTTGTTCACCCCAAAATACATATCCGCTGGTTCGCTTCATCCGATTCATCCCAAAAACTATGGGAAAAAACAATCAGCTTCGGTGGTATCCCCAACAGCCGCAACGTTTTATTTTTACAAATCTTTCTGACGCGTGCTGCGAAGCCAAGCGCTGGAAACACGTCAGCATTTCCGTCAATTAAATGGCCGCAAATCCTGTTGAACCTGACCTCGCTCTGCACCAAAGCCTCCCACACCTTCTCCGGAACCTTCTCCGGAACCTTCTCCGGCGCCCTGTTGACCCTGACCTGGCGCTGCACCAAAGCCTCCCAGAACCTTCCTCCCAGACCTTCTCCGGAACCCTGTTGAACTTGACCTGGCTCTGCACTAAAGCCTCCCGGACCTTCTCCGGAACCTTCTCCGGAATCTGTTGAACCTGCCCTGGCTCTGCACCAAAGCCTCCCGGAGCTTTCTCCGGAACCTTCTCCGGAAACCTGTTCAACCTGACCTGTCTGCACCAAAGCCTCCCAGACCTTCTCCGGAACCTTGTTTGGAATCCTGTTGAACCTGACCTGGCTCTGCACCAAAGCCTCCCGGAACCTTCTCCGGAACCTTCTTCGGAGCCCTGTTGAACCTGACCTTATCCGGAACCTTCTTCGGAAACTTCTCCGGAACCCTGATGAACCTGACCTGCCTCTGCACCAAAGCCTCCCGGAACCTTCTCCGGAACCTTCTGCGGAACCTTTTCCGGAACCTTCTTCGGAGCCGTCTCCAGAACCCTGTTGAACCTGACCTGACTCTGCACCAAAGCCTCCCAGACCTTCTCCGGAACCTTCTCCGGAACCTTCTCCAGAACCTGGCACTGCACCAAAGCCCCACAGACCTTCTCCGGAACATTCTCCGGAACCTCGTTGAACCTGACCCGGCGCCTGCACCAAAGCCTCCCTGACCTTCTCCGGAAGCTTCTCCGGAACCCTGTTGAACCTGACCTGGCTCTCAGACCTTTACCGGAACCTTTTCCAGAACCCTATTCAACCTGACCTGGCTCTGCACCAAAGCCTCCCACTTTCTCTGGAACCTTCGGAACCTACTCCGGAACCTACTCCGGAACCTCGTTGAACCTGACCCGGTCCCTGCACCAGTCTACACCTCAGCTATTCTGGGCTGAAGACCCCATTAGGTCCTCCACTGGCGCGAACTCCAAAAAGGTGTTCTTCACTTTGCACGCAGCATCTCCGCCGTACCTCAGGAGCTGGCCGGTAGGTCCAGGTCACGGAAGAGCTTGCTATAGCTTGCCGGGGCAGCAGTACTTAATGGTACTTATGGATGCTTATGGATGTTTATAGCAGGATTGAATCGAATCATTTTCTTGTTCGGTTTCTCCTTAAAAAAACTCCCAGTTTAGCTGGTAGAATGAGTTGGTTGGCAGTTTCAACCAATAATAAACCACCCATTATACCACCTATTTATGGTGATTTGGAAACATGGCATTGTTTTACCCACATTAGTTGGATTCATCCTCCCAAAAGAGGCTGAAAATGATGGTTGAAGTCGCCTCAGCCAGTGGCATCATTGGCTCAACTTAGCCAAGGCACATGATGTACCACACAGAAGCACTGCACCAGGTGCGGCTGGCTGCCAGGCTGCGAAAGGATGACAGAAATAAACCTGAAAGGTGTTGGGCTGTTATGGTGATATGTATATGTATACATAATATATATATATATATCATTTTATATTAGATTATATATATATATATGTATATGTATATGTGTGTGTATGTTCCTTCTGATGTGATGTATTAAATGTGTATTCTGTGTATTTGATGTGTGCACATACGTATATACGATCTACGAATCTAGGTGTTTTATCTGGCGCGGGTTGCTCGGGTGCAACAATGATGTGATGAGGTGATCACGGTGGGGGCTGTGGGGGTTGCTTGCCATTGGCTCTATGAATCTATGACTCCTATGACACTTGATCCACCTGAGCAACGGACCCAGCAACGTTGCGGAACAGGGTTGAAGCTGTTCAAGCTGATTCTTGGGATACACCGGTACATCGGATTAGATCGACACGTGACATGGATGAAAGGTAGCATTCAGATTCCACCACAGGGGTCATGAATGAAAGGCCATGAAGTTATAGAAAAAATTGCGTAAAAGAACAAGCTTTCCTTGGCTTCAGAGCTGATCAAATCTTCCGAAGGATGCAAGAATCAGGTTACCTGAAATCAGCAATGGCCGGCATTTTTTCCCATATCCTTTTGGCCACGAAAGCATCCCTTTGGCTTTGGTGACGTGCGCTCATGGACGCAGCCGACACACTTTTGGTGTTCGGCCCTAAAAAAAAGTGTCCACGGTGGCTGTGCACAAATGCGCCTTCTGGCGGCCAGTGTGACATTTTCGACACCTTCTCAGCACGGTAAGTTTGAGTCCGTAGATGTCTATGCTGAAGGGAATTCATCTCAAAAGCTTGGGAAGGTGCTGCGAAAGTGCCACCCTTTCGAATCTCCCCTCTTTGAGGGGCAGATCGAGAGGCCTCCCCAGGGTCCAAGATTCATCAGCAATTTGTAGCAATTTCATCCATATTAATATATATATATAGATCCCTGAATCCCTGTTCTAAGAGCTATGAGCCTTTCCCAAGTGGGTCAAAGGAGTTCTTATCTACAGTACTTTTATTTTTCTCTAAATCTTTGAGTTTGAAAAGAGCTGGCAATTCAAGTCCCTAGATTGTTGAAAAGAACTCATGCAGGAGAAATTAGACAAGTGCCAGATTATTTGATGGTTGTGACACATTGCGCTGCTGCTTCGCCGTCGTAGCTGCGTTTCCCTACTGAAAGCAAACTAGAGTGGCGTTGAAGAAAAGTGTATCTCAACAGCTGGCTCTTTGAAAGGGGAATCCCTCAATAAGAGGCCCCACGACCCTAGTCAACACTGCCCAGAAAGAAAAAGTGTCCAATTTGGGAGATCTCTGCATTATTCTGGCTACAGCAGCTTTTGGGGATTGGCCGGGATTGGCCTCTGCCAAGGGCAATACTTAACGATTCATCTGATCCACGCATCTTATCCCCACGATTCATGGGCTACTTTTTAGAATAATCTGCATGTCTCTGTGGCGATTGTGATACTTCTTGGATTGACACTGAGCTGCTTAGAGCCCTATGCAAGGGACAGTTGACTGACATTTTCAAGACCCAAGACATCCCAAGACCCGGAGCCTCCAAGTCTGGTCCTATTTGAAGAAATCATCCAGCCTACTCAAACTCATCAGGAGAGCCTTGGACAGAATTCAAAGCTTGACCTTTTCAAGCGGGCTGTGCCCATTTCTTGTAAGCATTGTAAGGCCAATAAGAAATGGGCACAAACATATGGGACACATGACTTTTCGGAAAGTCATGTGCAGGATCCCCAGGGGATCCTGTGACTCTGTGACGTATACCGTTTTGTATCCAAACTCAACTCACCCTGGCATCATAGAAATAATTGGATAATCCAATGGGAAATATATGTTAAATAATGTCAAATATTCATTATTCATAGAAATTCATAGAAATCCATAGAAATCTACAGAAATCATTGGGAAACGCAAGTCTCCAGTCTCCAGACACATCAAAAAGGTCCAAGGTCCCAGACCCTCGGCTCCCGATCCCCTGCAGCATAGGTGAGGATCACCTGACAACTTCGGCACCGGCCTGGTGTGGAGCCTTTTTAAGCTGTCAGAGTAACAGGATGTTTAGTGAACCCCAAAATAGCTGGTAAATGGATGTTCATCCCACTAAAAATGTATCTATAAGTATTGACCCATACCCACATTGCTATGACAGAAAAACTTCCATCTAATCACACATCGTTTCCCATGGCTGTCATCTGCTCGGACCTCAAAAAGGTCCGAGTCCCGCCTGCTGGTCATGTACTACCAGGCCGGAGGCAAAAGCAAAGGCCGGTGCCCTCAGATCACGGTGGGGTGGCTATGGTGATAAGGTGATGGCATATGATTGCCCGTGGCAGACATTGACGCGCAGCGCTTGGCGCTTAGAACATCTTCAGAATATGCCAATCAGAATCTTGAGCAACAAGAAATCGATACCCTCTGGTAAACGTTTACATAGCCATGGAAAACCCACCATTTTTCATGGGAAAACTATTTCTGCAGCGGAAAAAGTAGCAACTCACACTTGGGCTCTACCCTTTTATCTACGCTGAACGAAGTCGAAAACGGCTGCAGATGAAACAAGTCAAGGTGAACCAAACTACAACTAACTAGGGGTCAGGTTCCAGCACGCCTCCCGACTGATGAACTGTTGTCACATCAGGAGTACTGGAGACACTAAAAAGGTGGCTCAAGCCGTTCTACACAGCGAAGGCGATCTTCGATCTACCTGCCACATACCTGAATCCCATCAGGTCCATCATTTGAACCATCAAAGTCGCAGTCACAGGTTTGGTGAGTATGTCTGCCAAGTTCTCAGACGTATGCTTCTTGGTGAGCTTGATCAACCCATTGGTCACATAGTTCTGGATCCACAGGAATGCAGTGTGAACATGTTTCACACGCCCCAATCCTCGACGGGAACTCATCGCAGCTCCTGCCGTCGCATCGAAGATGAGATTGATTGACAATCGAACGTCCCATTCACTTGCGATGGACTGCTCACACAGAGCTTCCGATGCTGAAGTAACCAAGGCATAGAATTCAGCCTCTCCTGATGAGAGCGCTACCACGGCTTGACCGCGGCACACTGATTTCAGCAGGTTGCATCCTGCCATGATCACACATCCCGATGTTGATTTCCTGGTGCGTATGCATCCGGCATGATCCGAATCGCTGTAAACATCCAGTCGAGTCAGGATGCGTTGACGACGAAACATTTGGATCACTCGAGGTGAGTGTAGGAGGTACCGGCTGCACCTTTTGAGCAACTCCATGTGCCTCTCCGTAGGCGCTGACATGCCCTTTGCCAGTTCTCTCGTCACTCGTTGCAAATCTGTCCGGTCCTGGGATATATATCCAATCCTCATAGTACACGACCTGTACAAGGTCGCCTCCTGTTCAGATAGCATCTTGTCCTTGACGTCCACGTTGTCCGGTGGCTCTCGAACCAACGGTGTAGTCACCGCTTTGCTCACTCCCAAAGCCTTTACCACGATGTCCACGTGGCGAGGGTCAGCCTCGTAGGAGATTCCCTCATCAGTCCACTTGAGAATCCTGTTCAAATGGCGCATTTCTTGCACCGTTCCCAGATGTCTAGATTCTGGCGGACCGAAGATTCCACGCTCTTCGATCATCCATGCTGCTTTCAGCTCCTGTGAAAACTTTCGCAGCTCATGGATAGGTCCTAGGGTGACGAAATCGTCTCCGTGCACTGTGCACCTCAAGTTTCTCCTGGCATGGAGAAAGTTGCACGGTGTTCCCAAGGAACAAACGAACCCAAGGGACTCGAGCAGTTTGCGTATCGTCTTCTCCCAGTTGGAAGCGGCATCCCGCGTGCCGTACAGGCTTTTAAGAAGCCTGCCCACTTTGTCTTCCCCAGGTCTTCGCACTTCCCAGGGCAGCTCAACGTGCAACTCCCGAGTTGCATCGGACACGAAGTGTGCCCTTTTCACATCAATGAACATGATGTACCACGGCTCGGTGCGAGGACGAACCGTCCCATCCACACCGAAGAACCGATCCACCATAGCGAGCGTCAGCAGCAATTTGAAGCTACTGAGAGGTGGCATTGCCGCAAAGAAATCGGCTACCAAGGCACCCTTGCTGCCTTTCTTTATCTCCTTGCCGACATACCGCGAACGGTATCGGGGATTGGTGGAATCACCTTTGTTGATGTCGACCCATCTGCCTTTCAGCACTGGCTTGTCACGGGGTCTGTCCACTTCTTGCCACACGCCCATCTTGCGTATGAAGTCAACTTCCTCTTTCCTGGCTTTGACCACCCGGTCGGGGTCTAGTTCTCTCCTGGAAATATCGTCATAGAATTCTTCGAAGTGAGCTTCGAAGAAATCTGGCTCTTCACACACCGGTCGGGTCTCTCCCCGCTCTGTTGCCTCATCGATTATGGCACACACGCACTCATCGTGGTGCATCTCAATCAACTCATTGATCGAGGCTTCTGTGTCGATCACGCGAGTGTCGACCACACGCGCCTCTTGCGACGCTTCAATTTCTTCTTCGCCTCCTCCCTCATGCTTTCTCTTGGAGGGGCTGCCTTCTGTGGCTCGCCTCCTAGTCGGGGACCTCTCTTCGGTCATTGGGCCAGTCTCCACTGACCTCTTGGGACTGCTAACCTCTTCTCCGGCAGCGGCCGAAGCGGCCCTTGCCGTTAGAGCAGGTCCGATCCTTCCAGACTTCGAAGGATCCGATGCTGATGATGCCTCAGCTCCACCAGCTTCCTTCTGGTCGACCACCACGGCTTCCGCTTTCTCAGCCTCCTTTTGCTTCTGCGCTGCAGCTAACTCGGCTTCCGCCGCCTTCAGCAAGGCTCGATCGTATCGTTCCTTCTCCACGGGGTCTTCAGAGACCGCTTTCTCCAGTCGAATCCGGCAACTGGCACTGTGAGCTATTCCGGGCTTCCTCTTACCGACTCGTGCACTGTCGCACGCTGGACATCCGGCTGTGTAGCCGAACTTCTCAAGGTTCTTTTGGGTTATGTACAAGTTCCTACTCGCGGGCTCGAGCCGAAACGGCTCAGGCTCCCGAACGTCGACCTCTGGAACTTCTGCTTTTAAGGACAAGGGTTTGTCCAACCTTTCACTCTCGGAACCGTCCGGGTTCCAGGGTACTCCCCTGATCTTTTTCAACATGGCACCATCCCACCGGGCCAACTCCGGTTTTCTTCGCAGACTAACTACCCAGTGAATTCCTTCGGGGGTAGCCACTGCCTTCTCTGTAGAGTTACGGTTAATCCCCACAAAGATACCTGGCTGCCATCGCGACTCCATTTTTGACCGACCGCGAAGTCGAAACTCCACGAGTTCACCCCAAGAAGGGATTGGTACCCTCCAAGGCTTGCCCTTCATCCTCTGATAGGCAGTCATTCCATCCTTTGGAACTCCCTTGTGGTAGAGAGTAAGTAGAGTGGCTGCATGTTCCACGAGCCAAGTGAGTGCAGGATGGTCAGCTTTCAACTCGACCTCGGCGTGGTACTCCACGAACTCCTTCAGGGTTCTTGCCATTCCTTGGACCATTTGGATGGCCCTCTCCGCTTCTCCGTTGGCCTTTTCGTGAGCTTCCACAGGCGCCTCTTCCAGGACGCACTCCCCTTGGAACCCATTCTTAACTCGTTGCAGCATAGCTTGAACGCTGCTTTCCTGGTCACCTTTCAAGATGACACGCTTGTACCCTGTGGACTCAAGGTCCTTCAACAGCTGGTTGGCTCCGAAGGGATTTTCAACTCCTTTGGAAGGCACAGGGTGTGCCCACACCGACTTGGTCCTTCTGTCCCGGACCACTATCACAGGCAAATCTGCACTTCTTGTGGCCGAATCGCCCATGAAACAGTAATCCACCGATATGGTGGGAATTTGCTGTTCGTCAACACTCCTGCGGGCAAAATGCCCCGAAGAAAGTCCTCTCCCACGGATACAAAACGGGCACCAGTTTCGGAACGGCAGGTGAGTGAGGTTGTGCTCGTCAATCTCACTTTGGCTTGGAAGCATCGGGGTCTTTTGGACACCTGCACTTTGAGCCTCATCTTCGTCCACTTCAAACCCAGGCTCGGTTTCCTCATACTCGCCTGCTGGTTCTCCTTGCTGCGGCGGATGCGATTCATCCTCCATTACACTTGGTGAAGGCACAAGGCTTTCCTCTTCGAATTCTCCTTCCACTGGTGCAATGTCAGAATTTCGGACACGATCGAAACGATCCGGTCCGTGGGATTGGCCAAAATGGCTGGGTGAAACTTTTCCTTCTGATGACTCACTCGGCCTTACGGGATGTCTCCCCGCCGGCCGAAAACCTGCTTGCGCTTAACCCAAACGGGCATCTTGTAGACACCGCCCATGACGATCATCTTCAACTTCCTTCCACTTGCCCGATGCAAGGCAAATGATCCTCCGTTCTCTTCACTGTCGTGGACAATCCTCCATCCGGCCGCAACCATTCGGCTGGTGCTGAACAACGGCCTCTTCAGAGGGGACAGCACCACAGCCTCGACCTTGTTGACCTGCCAATCTTCAAAGCAGATCACAGGGCTGGCGCTTCCCAACGCCGTCACTTCGTGGTTTGAAGCACTGGTATACTGCTTTGGCCCAGAGTGATCACCCACTTGGTAACCTTGGACCAGGGATTCCGGAAAGCAAGTAACAGCAGCTCCACTGTCGACAGTGACGTAGACCTTTTCCCATTCGCCGTCGATTGCCGGCTCGTCCACGCTGAAGATCTCAAGGCTCTCCACGGAGCCCTCGTCACGGTAGTGGCGCACCAAATGATGGGCCTCCTGTTTGGAGAACCCCAAGTCCACCAAGCATTGACTCGGTTTCCATTTCCCCCAAGTCTCATCGTCATCCTCAGAGACGTCGGGTTGTCCAACCACAGGCTCCTCTTCGACAACCACCTCCTCATAGTCGTTGCAGGGCACGTCTCGGCTCCCACATGCGGTGGATGGTGGCTCGTCTCTCTGCTCGTTGCTCGGCATCAAAGATGCAATTTTGGCCTCATGCACCCTGATCTCCTCTTCGATCTCAGCGGCTTCCTGGTCGTCTTCTGCCGATTCAAGATTTTGCGACAGGGTCTTGATCTCCTTCCTGGACCAAGCCACGTCTGCAAGGTTTTCCAGGTTCGGCTCCTCAATCCTGGCCTTCTTTCTGGCCCAGGCCTGGTCTGCGAGCAACTCGAAGTCTGGCTCTCTCTTCGTGGACCCTTTGTCCGCCGGAAGCGGTCGAAGCGACCCTTTCCGTGCGCGGACATGGGCACCTTCCTTCCATAACTTCGCCCGTTTAGCCTTGCTCCGTTGCCGCAACAGGCTGAGTCTCCAACCCGTTCTCTTGAGGTGTTTGTGCTTGGCCTCGGCTGTGTTGCGCTTCATCCATTGCGGTCTGGACCAATTGCGAACCTTGACTTCTTCCAGAGGCTCATCGTCCTCCTGGCGGAACTCCTTCCGCTCCTTATAGTTCAGAGCCCTCATCACCAAGTCAGGCCGCAAGTCCTCCCGGTCTCCTTCGAACCGACCTCCGTATCGGTCGATCTGGTGTTGGCGGCGAGTGTCCACTCCAGCTTTCCACTCGACATCCTCGGTCGAACCGCGGAACTTGGCGTGCCATTTGTTGTCAAGCTCCTTTCTTTCAAAGGCCCTTTCGGTGGACCCTTCCGCACGGTGCTTTGCCGCTCGCACGCGGCTTTTCCATTTTCGCTTGGACAGCCGCACGCTGTGGCCAGCGCGGATGTCCTGTCGGTACCGTGGATCTTCTTCGAAGCGTGCACTCCGTCCTTTCAGGACCTCAAGCTGTTGCTTTCTTGCCGCGATTTCCTCCTCCAACTTCCGTTGACGATCCTCGTCGGATCCTCCTTTGCTCAGCTCGACTTTGGCTCGGTGAATCTCTCGCGCTTCCACCGACTTCAGGTTGGTAAGGAGAGAGCGGATAAACGCCTCGGTTGACCCAGTTCCTTTTCCTCGGCCTTCACCGGTGGACTTTCCTCTACTGGATTCCTCGTCGGACTTAGGCTTGCTCTCCTCCAGGACGAAAATCGCTTGGATTTCAGCCTCAGCACCCTTTTCTTTGGAGTCCTGCGCCTCTCCTTCCAGAGACTTAATCCCAGGCTTTCCTTTGCCTTTGGAATCTTTACCTTTGTTGGATCCTTTCCAGGACCCTTTGCCTTTGCCGTCAGACTTCTTGCCTTTTCCGTTCTTTCCGCCAGTTCCTTTGCCTTTTCCGGTCCTGTCCCAACAGTCCTTCGCGAGGTGGCCGAAACGGCCACACGCGTGACAAGGCCCAACACTTTGGGAACCGCCTTTGCCTTTCCCAGGCTTGCCTTTGGCTTTTCCTTTGGCCATGGCATCAACATCCATGGCGTCCGGATTGCGCATGGGAACCGACGTCTTGATGTCCAAGTACGTGTCGATCTCAGCCCTCATAGCATCGTAGCTCGCGAGTCTGCTTGCGTGTAAGTCCAGGTGTTCAGCTAGAGAGTCAGGGCACAAAGACTGAAGGCATAGGCGACGAGTGGGATCGCTCAACGCGTCACTGGTCCTCTCTTGGTACTGAGTGTAGAGACGTTCCCACGTCTCGATAGCTCCACGTAGGCTCGACAAGTCCTTGGCCTTTGTAGGCCTCAACACTTTTGCCAACAAGTGGTAGTTGGACTGCGCGGTCTGTGGCTCGTACTCTCGACTAAGTCGCCTCCATCCATCAAGTCCACTTTGGGCTAACGAATTGCGTAGGATAGACAGAGTCTCACCCTTGGTCAAGGACACCAAGGCCGTGTGTAGCTGCCGGTTCACTCGAGCAGCATCATCCCATCCTGGCCTGGTGGCCACTTCAAGCTCTATCGCCCGATCATCCACGACTCCGTTGTAGGCTGCCGCCCACTTCAACATCTCATCTGCTTGTTCGTATTGGGATACGAACCACGTCGTGAAACCAAATGACCATAGAGGCCACTTCTGCTTTATTTGCTCTTTTGTCTCGCCTTGGAGCACCTCAGGTTTGCCGACTCCTTTAACATCGACCACTCCTGACTTGTCCTTGGGTGCCAGCTTTGCCAAGGACTCACTCAACACTCTCACGGACTCAGTCGTCTCTTCTCTCTGCGCGCACAAAGCTTGCCTCATCGCTGCGTCTCTGGCCTCCATTGCTTGCTGATTCTGTTGGATCAGCTGCATGGTGTTCTGGTTGGCCACATGCATTTGTTGGAGCATTTGCGCCATCATCACCATGGGGTCTACTGGCCCTGGCGGCTGCTGAGCCATGACTGGCGAGAGTCGAAGCGACCCTTCGCCGTCAGTCCTGCTTGGGGTACGTCAGAGCGACCCTGTTCAGCAGGGCCTTTGGGTACCTCTGTAGGTGGTGACCCACAAAGGCGAACAACCTCTGTAACTTTCGGATCTTCAAGATCCTTTTCACCAAGGCACCCCAGTTCAACACGGGCCTGTTTGCGGTGGCCCTTCGACAGCAGTTGCCCATTCAGGGCTCCGCTACCATGCAGCGGAAAAAGTAGCAACTCACACTTGGGCTCTACCCTTTTATCTACGCTGAACGAAGTCGAAAACGGCTGCAGATGAAACAAGTCAAGGTGAACCAAACTACAACTAACTAGGGGTCAGGTTCCAGCAATTTCCACTGGGCCATTTTCAATAGCTTTTTGTAGGTCATAACCAGGTTGGGTATCTTTCTGCCAAGTTGTCTCCACAGGTCTCCACACCCTGGCATGGCTGGAAGCATCTCCAGTGGCAATACCTTGGAGACCTGGAGAAATCGGACTGAGACGTGGAGGATTCAACTGGCAATTCATGGAGATACTATATTATACATACATATATTTATTTATATATATATGATATATTAACAACAGTATATATGTATAGATGATATTATACACACATTCTCCTGGATGAATTCTGACATGTGAATTCTCAAGACAATTCCTAGGACTGTTCGATGGACAACGCTCTGAGGCCTGCAGGATCTGGAAGGGCGGCTTCGGCGAGAAGCGATACGCGTAGTGCGCATAGCGACGCACCTGCGGTCCATGGGTCGCACCCATTGGTAAACTGTCTTTTTTTGGGCCAAATATGCACCTGTGCCGTATGTTCCAAAAAAGACCTCCCACTTTCAATCCTTGTTTTGGGTGGCCATCCGGGTGATTTTCTCAGCCTTTAGATCCGCAGCATGGAAGAGTGCCAAGTAGTGCGGCCGTGGCAAATGAGGAGTCGCGTTGGGCGCCTGCAGTGCTTGCGGATCCGCGGGGAAATACTTGAATTGCGGGTCTCGAGCCTTCGCTATGTGGCCAACTGGGTATGGCTCCAAAAACACATCCACTTCGCAGACCCACATGGGTGGTAGAATTTTGAGGGGTGAATCATTTGAAACTATTTCCATGTGAGTCATCTACAGTATTTTGATCTAATTACAGTGTCTTCATGTATCTTCATCTATCTTGATCTATCTTCATCTACAAACTATCTTAATCTATCTTCATCTAATATCTTCATCTATCAAAGTATGGCTATGGGTCAAAACCCTGGTACTCAAATGAAGACATGCACATCATTTCCCCAGGAATGGACAGCGATTTTTGTATTTCATTCCTCCCCAATTCCCCAAGATGGTTTTGATGCATCATGTGCCATGGTCAATGGTAATCTAGACAGAATGAGTCATAATGGCTATATCATTTATATAATAGATATGTATATATAATATAATATAATATAATATAATATAATATAATATCATATATATATATATCATATATATATATGTATATATCATATATATATATATCATATATATATATCATATATATATACTCCATGAAAATACGGAGAATGGTTTGATCATTATCTATCCCCAATCCTCTCATGGCATCTCACACCGCTCAGCTTCCTAAGCCTCCGCACGTTCACATAGACGGCCTGTGCTGAACCGCGAATAGCCATCTCCAACAGCCGCGACTGGCAATGGATGGAGGGGGATGGATGGAAGTAATCGACTGGCCAGTTTCTCAGCTTCGACCATTTTAGAGCCTCGCCTTCGACAGGTCTAGTTCTCAATGGTTTTCAACCATTTTCAAGCATCCAGCTTTGGTGTTTTATGTGGTGAACCATTTTTGAGGGTCAACACTTCAAATGCCAATCATCCAATGTGGGGGTCCAGTCATTTTGAGCCATGGCTAGACTTTTGGAAGCCTAACAATTTCACCCGTAATGTGGTAAACCTGATGCCATAAACAACTACCATTTGTGGATGATTTATACATACTTAATCATATTTATATCACTCATCTATGCGAATGTTGTGGATGATTACTTCCCAATTTCTTGATGTTGCGTATCCCTACTGCCCTACTGTCATGGGACATCAATTGCCAGCCGCTGATGTCAGTGTCCCGTCCTGCATCTCTTCCAACTTTGGGAAGATACTGCGCCACTGCTGCCTCTGGCTGGATCGGGATGTCCGACACGGGCACGGGGAACCCAGCACAATCAGCACGGCCAATCAATGCCAATTATGTATGTATGTATGTATGTATGTATGTATGTTTGTTTGTTTGTTTGTTTGTTTGTTTGTATGTAGGTAGGTAGGTAGGTATACATATATATATCCTATATATATATCCAAGATATATATATATATATACCCAATATTCTTCAATTACTTTAGAAGCTTTGGAGCTTGGAATTGTCGAAAATTGGGAATCCAGGAATCCTCCCGGCAGCTGACCCGCAGCTGCCGGTGTCTGCCAACTCTCGGACCACGTGGGGAATCAAGGAATAGACCTGGCGGCTGTCGAGCCGTGGCCATGGAGATGGCCATGGAAATGCCGTGGCCAGTTGAGAAAGACGACTTGAGAAAAATGGGAGATTGACCATTATTAACCAATATTAACCCATTAGCCATGGATATTTACTATGGAAATTCAACATGCAAAGACAAAAATAAAAACACTGTGTTCAACTGAAGCCTAACTGAACACTTCCATATCGGCCGTGACAAACCTTCCCATGGATTCCACTTCTTGGTAGTTCAGGAACATCAACATGAAAATGCTTCAACGAACATCCACAAGAAATCAGAAGTATAGGATCTGACGCCCAGAATATGCCATAGATATGCCATAGATTCCTTTTGCATCCTTTTGCCAGGTTTTTTCTGTAGTTCCCTGAGGTTCCCTGAGGTTCCCTGAGGTTCCTGGCCACATACGTCTTTCCCTCCCGCTGGAAAGGAATCCAATTCTTTTCGTTGTGGTCCAATTCTTGGTGCCGGACACAGCCAGGCTGTGACGAAAAATTCGGTGAATCAGCCAGGCCGATAAATTTTGGTAAAGCAGAGGGTCGAAGTACCAAAAAAAAACTCGTAGAAACCATCCACCAAAATAAATCCAAGTAGAATCTCCAGAGTTAGGCAGATTTTAATCTACAATCAAACTGATTCACTGATTCGTCCACATGGAACTTTGGGGCTATGGCACCTAATATGGCACCACACATCAACCTGCCCTGGGCTCTCCAACGTCCACATCTCAAGTGCCGGCCCTGGATCACCTCAGTCCACGAGTTGTTTCCGTGACTTTCCACTGAACAAGTCCCGGCCAAAGTTGAGGCTGGGGCATGCTCTGGATGTCTGACATTGACACCTGACAGTCCAGGCATCGCGTTGATGTTTACAATATTTTATAATTCCTCACAACTCAGGGCAACTTGTGTAGCTAGAGGTATAATATAAACCATTACATCCATTACAAAGCTAACTTCCGGTAGGTTCACCCTCCGTTGAATAGTGGTTCCATGTCGCTCCTGGTTCCATCTGTATTTTCTGACAACACTCAGTTCGTGAAAATGACAACCGAAAGAAATCGTAAAGAATCCCAAAATTTTGCTATTTGGCCCTGTCAAACTCCAGTCTTCTGGGCTGTCCGAGGAGCCACCTGTTCCCATATCCATCTCCAGAGCCACACAGCCCGTTGCCACCTGAAGCTAGGAACATTTGGCTCACGTCTCTTCTGTCGCAACTCTTTCCCTCCTGGCAAGTGCTGTGCAGTCTGGATCGGTCAACCTCTGAAGCCTCAACAGACTGGCACCCTGCGACCATCTGAATACGTTTTTGCTTTCGACTCACAAGGTAGGGCTGGTGTCTCAACATGTGGCTTCAGCATGTCATATGATATTAATCTGCCAACTCACCAAGCCCATCCAAAAGTTACCAGTCTGACCCTTGAAGTTGGAAATGACTTGTACCAACACTCTGAAGGGCACAGACGAAGTGGTCCCTCCAGGTCTACATATCCAACAAATTCCAATAGCAAATATATCGTGGGTCCGTCCCAATTGCACCAAATCATAACCCATTGCTTCAATTTCCACACCGAAGTCTTACCCTGCCTTGGGAGAGTAGGAGTTGAACGCCAGTTGCACCTGGCATTCGGAATGCCATCAAGTGGCTACCATCTAGCGGGTTTCATCTAGATCATCTAGCAAAATCGCATCGCTCAGCGCTTTATTAAAAGGACCTCCTGGTGGGAACACCATCTGGAGTTGCATTGAGTCTCGCAGTGACTTGGGCTTTTGCCGCCTCAGCGATCCGGGATCCCAGAAGGTGCACCAGGAGCTAATTCAAACATTGGGAGAAAGGAATCCACTGCGCAGTGGATGCGTAACCAATGTAACCAATGTAGCACTCTGCTTTGGATCATATTCCAGTATATATATATATATATGATGAATAATAATAATAATATATATATATATATTAATATGGGTATACTATGGTATACTATGGTATACTATTGATTAATATAGTGTGTATATATATATATACAGTATATATGTATATATGCTACCCAATCATGGGATGCGGCCTGGAAATCCCATTAAAAATGTCGCCAAGCAGCACCAGTCCGTGGGCTCTCGCAAGGACCAACCTGTGCCAGGAAGGCCAGTTGGCCTTCACCCATCCCACCATCGATCATTTCGTTGGTTTTTGGGGGAGCCAATAAGGGGAGCCAATAAGGGGAGCAGTAGGAGCTCAAAGATGTTGATGTCTTAGTGCATCCAAATGTGCCAATGGATTGCTAATTAGCTAATTCCGAGAAACTCACTGAGGATGCCACAATCCGTCCGCGAATTTGAACAGGATCCCGCTGTGGTCAATGGGAAGACCTTGGGATCCTGACCAAAAGGAGGATGTCGAAGCATCTAAAACGAACAGATCTGATCAGTCCCTGGACACTCGCATTTCTTGGAAGTTTGGAGCATCTTGTCACCTGTCTTGAAGCGAGTGACTCACTTTTTGTGTGCTACTGGAGTTCAGCGTAATCTGCTCACACATGACTCACTGCAGTCGTGCAAAACACGTGCTGAAGCTTACGAAAACAAGATGAACATGGTTTCATCCCTTTGCCCAAATTTGCCCAACCCATAGTTCCAGTCCTCCGGCCCTGTGACTACAAACCTGGCGGGGTGCGGAGCCAAGTCTTTTTTGCATCACATCCAACATGGCATCGAGCTATATGTAACACATGTAGCTTTGAGCCTTTGGAAATCACTACACCTCCGATCAATTTATGTCTAAGGCGCACAACCCGCGCACCTCAACATGGTCTTGTTCTCGGGGAGCCACCTCTCCCGGTAGCACATGTTCGGATAGGTCCAAGGCTTCGAATCCACCATTCGAAGGCCTCGCCGGAAGTCGTTTTGAGCTTCGTTTTTCGCTTCGCTTCGCCGCGTTTCGCCCCGGGCCATTTGGGTAACGTTTGAGGATCCGGACCATCCCAAGGACGCATGTTGATTTGGCCACCAGGAATGGCACCGGAGGCGTTCAGCCTCGAGTCACTCGAGTCGGATGCACTTGCGAGTTACCACAACTTGAACCAATTTTTAATGGCCCCAAGTCCGCCAGAAAATGATGCAATGACGGCTTGTTCTTCCACCATCCACCATGCAGTTCACATGGACCAAAACAATCATGCAGCCCTGTGGACTTGAAAAAATAGTTTGGTTTCGTGAAAATCTTACAAGGACAGTGTTCAAACACTGAAGATTCACCTTTTGCAGCTTCGCAACATTGCCATTCAAATCCCACTTGGTTTGCTAATTTGGTGAGGGAGTGGGCTAGAAATCACCAGGTCCCAGTCTGGTGTTCGCTGCTATTATCATCTATTATCATCACCATAAGATGATCATATTCAGAATCAAAGTCGTAATCATAATCTTTCATCAATGTGACAATATCATACTATAGACATCTATAGACTATAACTTATGATAATTATGATTGTCCTTTTTGTTAATTTTCTTCACTTCCGCAGCAAAACTAAGGCTCTGACGCTTGCCAATCCTCCGAGTCGAAAGATAGACTGCCCAAGAAAATCTGCGAGAACCAGATCTCCTGACATGGGCAGAATGGGAAAAACACCGACGACGAGCCGACGAGCCGACCACAACCACAAGAACAGCAACAGGGCTGACATGATTCCTACAACAGAGCTACTTCATCATGAAGTACTGATTCAAGTGCAAGTTATGCCACTTCTGCTCTAATATCGGCCGGTCGATTCCAAGCCCTTCTGGGCTCCTCTAAGAGAGTTCCGTTCTCGAAGGTGGACTTGCGGTAGGATCGCCTTGCACAAGTTGTAAAAATGCTCCGGAAAAACTTGTGGGTTTGCAATCTGAGCGTGTTGTATTCAGGTTGATAAAGCTAGGAGCATCCCAAAATTCAAAAGGAAATCATATGGTTGCAGGGGCTCAGAAAGAGTTAGAACAATCCACATGATTGAAGAAAAAATATGAGAGCGGGGGGAAAGGCAATAAACGCCAGATATTTGAGCGTGGTGCTACAATATACTGATATACTACATTATACTAGATTACAGTATACTATATTATACTACATCATCATCATCATCATCATCAATAATATCATCAATAATTAATAATAATATCATCATCATCATCATCAATCATCAATCATCATCACCATCACCATCACCATCATCATCATCATCATCATCATCGCAGCGACAGTTCCCTGCGCTGGATCTCTAGTTCTGTCGCGTGGATCCCTGTATCGTATCCTCGTGCAGCATAGCCCACATACCTGCTATTCCCTCTCCACCTCTCAAGCCACGGAAGGTTTAATATTCACTGATAAATATCTTTTCCCTCTGGCATTTGAGAGGAGTCTCCCTCGCCGCAACTGATGTATGTATATATATATATGTATATCATCATTATCATCATTCTCATCACTATGATCGTGATATCATGATATATATATATATATACTTATCATATTATCATCATGATCGTGTCTATTCCCATTGTATTGATCTTATGATGACAAAATGGGTAAGCCAAGACTCCCACCTGTGGAGCCGTGCAGCCAGTATCAATCGACTCTCATCCACCAGTGTGGCTGAGGGATTGATGAAGGCCTTAGTGAGGCGAGCAATGGGAAACCATGGGATACACCCTCAATTCTGGGGTCTTCTGGGATAAACCATAGAAATACCATGGGAAAGACCGGTTGATTATTGATGCGAACAGCAATCCCAAACTAAAAAAACTCCCGAACAGGGTTCCCTGAGTAACCCTGACACCTCCACCAGTGGTGCTCCAGTCCTCTCAAGCATTGGCCAAAGTGGTACTATGAGGATAAAACTGCTGGGATAATCATGACGAAATCATGACGAAATCGACAATGCTTGCAGAATGGTCGGAGCATGACGCATGAGCATAACTGCATCATGACGCATGAGCACTTCTGACAGCGGATGACAGCGGAAAAATCACCGACAGGAGATGTCTGCCTGATTCTCAGGAGAAAGCAGCATGCAATGCACGTTACAAGGTTCTCATCCATTCCCTCCCCTTGTAACAGCTGCTTGGCAGCTCTCCTCTGCTGACATCCGCAACGGTAGATGGATATCCAAGAAACCATCACCTTGAATCAGATCGGGCAGCACATGGTCCTGCACTGCAAGGTGCCAAAGGCATCAACGGAACTGAGCTGTGGGAAGCTTGAGATCCAGTGGAGGGGGGCACAGCAACCAAGGTCAAGCATGCGAGATGTATGGGAGCAAGGTAATCCCATTTCGAAGCTCCTGGAACTGTTCGGTACATATTCTGCCTGGGAGGCCTAGCAGATAGAAAAAGTGTTGGAGACTACTGGCGTGATTTCTCTTGTAGTGTTCCTGGCGCAGACTCTCAATATGTTTTAATTCAGAGGACCGAGGAGAAACTATGATATAATATATAATATAATTAGATAATATAATATAATGTAATATAATGTAATATAATGTAATAAAAGGAGAAACTCATTTTTAGCCAAGACGGATGTCCGATTTGTGATCGACCCATTGGCAACAGCATCAAATCAGCAGCAGACACCCAAAGGGGCGCGTCCTGTCCGCCCCTCCATCTCCACCTACCACGACACATTGAGATATTCATAGATGGTCCCAATGCAGGAGAATCACCACCATGGTGCCACTGCATCAACATCCCTTCGTGGTCCATCTACAAACAATGTTCCTTTTACCGTGCTCAATTTTCAAAGATCTGAGTTTTGAGAAGTCAATGGACATCATTGCAGGTTCAACTGGGTTCCGTAAGGTTCGGTCTGAGTCTAAGGTCAAGGGGGCAAAGATTATCAGTCACGAGTAAAGGTCCCAAATAGAGTGTCATTTCATGCCGAAATGCCCACATTCGCAGCGAGGCACGTTGAGATGAGCACCAACAGCAATGACATCACCGTGGGAACGATCCAGGACGCCTTCCAGAATGTGCACGGAGTTCGGGAGTTCGGCTCATGTGGGAATGGTTGATACTAGACATGCATAAAATCTCTAGCCCCTGAATCATTGGATTGGTTTTTTCCGGGGAAATCTACAGGAATCCTGATGGTTTTTACCATCAAATATGGTGCGTTCCTGTAATTTTTTCCCTTATTCGCCAATCCAACGACTCAAATTTTGATCCACTGCCATATGGAAGCAGCCCTGTGGCGAGGTCACGGGGCGCCTGTGTGGGCGACAATTTCCACAGTTTGTCCGACGGAGTCTGCACCTCAGGGCACAATGATGGCGGGTTCTTTTTACCAAGTGAACTACATATATGACCGGAGTACACATCATCAATGTCCCTCGAAATCATCCAAAAACCAATATCCAAACATACATTATATATATATACAGTGTATACATACCTGTGTACATATATATATATATATATATAATGATATATCCAGATGACTTGTTGCAGCTTCGCCAAGTGACCAGGAGCTGCACAAAAGTTGCGGTGGCCACCAGGAACATGAAGAAACTGAGATCAAAGTCCTGGAACCGCGCCGATGTGGCTACCCCAATAGCTGGATGGAAAAAACCTCCAGGAAGATCCGGAAAAAAAAAAAAACATCCAGCTATGATGGCTGGTATATATGCTATGTGTATTCCATGGACTATCATCTATTATCCATGATAATCTATGGAATATCTATGCATGTCACATCATTTCACCATAAATGGGTCAGTTTATCATTGGTGTATATCCCTATATTTCACCACCTTACGCACCATCAATCGCTGTGCCTCTCCGAACCATAAGGTCATGCAGATGAACTGCATCACATAGACGCAATATGAGTAGGATTCCTCAGTCAGAGGGATAACATGGCGTCGTCATCCTGAACTTCCTGAATGTGAAGCTGAGGAATCATGATAAATCGAGCACGTAAATGCAGTAATTAACATCATCAATTGTCATTAATATCATTTAATCATGTGCTGTCGGATCATCAATTTGGGTTTTGAGAGATTACCCCTGTTCAAACTGATTTCTGTCATGCTTGAAGAATAAATTGCCATGAATTGTCACCAGGTACTGTATGACTCATGACTGGAATATGGCCATTGTCTCCGACCATTCAAGGTGTCCGGATGGCAAGGAAATGATATATCCAGTGACTTGCGCTGCTCATCATCCCCAGATTGCGTCTCCACTGTCCGGGCCAAATTGGAAGAAGCGGCTAAGAAGTTAAAGCTCGAAAATAAGCTCGCCAGCCTGTGATGAGTCCCAGCTTCAGATAGGCATGCCCCGTTATGCCCCGTTGCATCCCGTTGCACCACTGAGCAAACTGAGTATATCGTTGATATGAAGGTCACTGCCCCTGAAGTCAGGGCACTTAGTAGAAATGATCAAGTAGCAAAACATAGCAAAACGACAAGTGGGAGTCTGTTCTAGACTCCTAGACTCAGTCAACTTCCATAAACTCCAGTGAAATCCTGGAGTTTATCCAATCATAACCAGCTGTGTTTCAGCATGTTTCAGCCTACTTTCTGGCCTCGGTGCTGGAAAGGAATCCAATCCCGCCAAGCCCAGGACCACACAGGCCTCAGGGACGAGATACGAGCCAAATCTTAACCATAGCTATCATGTATAATATGGTTAATAATATCCATTATACATGGATAATAATAATAATAATAATGATACTATCCATTTTATTTATCTAAGTTCAAGATAGGTGCTTGATATCCAGCTATAAGATAGGTCGCTACGCTTGGTACGCTTGGTGCGCTCGGTACGGTACGCTTGGTGCGCTTGGTACGCTTGGTACGCTTTGGGTAGGTACGCTTGGTACGCTTAGTAAGGTACGTTTGGTACGCTTACCAACCGTACCGACCGTACCGACCGTACCAGTGAACCGTACATAACCGTACCACCGTACCGTACCAGATTAAGGGGGGGGTCAAGGGGGGGGCGTTTTGGATGTACCAATACTAAAGTAGTATTGTACATCCAAAACGCCCCCCCCTTGACCCCCCCCCTTAATCTGGTACGGTACGGTGGTACGGTTATGTACGGTTCACTGGTACGGTCGGTACGGTTGGTAAGCGTACCTTACTAAGCGTACCAACCGTACCAACCGTACCGTACCACATGTACCAACCGTACCGTACCAAGAAAACCAAACCTACCAGCCGTACGTACCAGACATGTTTGGATCTTACTTAAGGCCTCTGCCACCTATCTTGAACCTAGCTAACATTTTATTATGATACTCCAATATCAATAATATATCAATAATATAAAATAATATATAAATAATATCCATAGCTATTATTGGCTATTATATCAATTATATCCCATACTTTCCATAGGTGAGGCAACCCCAAAATTCGATCGATCAGAAAAGGAACACCATTAAGACTCCAACAATTGCAGAGAAACTCGACGACGAAATGCAATATCATCATCAAAACGTGTGCTAGCCATGCAATTCAACAAATGGGGGAAGTTATGGACCCCAAAAATGTGGATCGTCACATCAATTCAGAGGGTCGATGATGTCGATGAGTGCACCCACCTGCAGCGGCAGCAGCGCAAAGATGCGCGCCGATAGCTTCGCGAAAGGAGGGGAGACCATTGGCCAATTGAAGACCTGCGCCATGGGATCATGGGAGTGGGGGATACTGCCATGAAATCTGAGGTGTAGAATGAAACCAGACTTTCCAAAACCCTGAACTTGGGTAGGTTGATGTAGCTTATTTGCATAAATGTGTGTATGCATATATAATATATAATATCTATATCTATCTATATATATATGATACATGATATATATATATATATTATCTTAAGATATCCTAATGATTTGGCTTTGCTGGACTCCTTGGCTACTTCGACCTTCCCCGAGACAATCTTCCGAGCCCGACCAGCAGTAGGCCAAGGTAGCCAACAGGAGCTAAAAGGTCCATCGAGATGCCAACAACCCAAAGGTCCTCGCAGAGCCAGGTGCGTTTCACACCGTTTCCGGTGTCAAATGGAGAATTCGGAGAATGGCCAAACTCCAAGTGAATCAGAAATCATCAGAATGACCCAAAAAAAGAAGTGCCAAACAATCAAATTCTTGGGGCATCGAATACTATGCTGACGTCCTCGACATCAGCTAGGAGCTCAGCCCTCAGTACCAAGGGGAAACATCCATGAAAGCAACATTAATCAACACCACGTGCACCATGCCGCATCTAGGTTAAATGCTCAGCTCCAAACATCAGCACTCGAAACTGTGCCAGCAACATCCCAAGCAGAAAGACGTGGACATAACCTCCGCATTTCGATGATTTGCAACTAGGTGTCGTCCGCAGTGTCAAATAGACCTCTTAAATCAAAATGCAAAGAGCTTGGACACATCGGATTGCCCTCTGGTAATTTCACATGGCTATTGAAAATGGCCCAAGAATACACTTGACTTACCTATTAAAGATGGCAATTGTCTAGTTCGCAAACTGTAAACGTTTACTAGAGGGTAATCAATCATGATGGGTCCGGGTTACACGAAAGACTAGATGGATCCGCAGGGCATCACTTTTTTGGTGCAAGTTGAACTTGCAGCGCTGGCATGATGAATGGTAAAACTGGTGAACTATGGTCAACTATGGTGAGCTCTCGGCTCACTCCCATCCAGTACTCTGAGAAATCGGTCTCTGGGTGCCACTGGGTGCCCTTGCAGATGGGATGAAACTTTAACATCACCACCAGGGCGTCTGTGCCATCCCGCATGAGACCCCACGAATGATGCTCCTCAGCAAATGACTCCAGAAAACAGTCGCAATGCAACTTCTGCTCTGAGATGATTGTAGAAGTGGTCCTCCAAAACGGTCCAAACAACTAGAAAATCCGCCCGCACCGAAGGTGCTGGGGCGTGATCGTCCGGATGGCACTCGTAAAAGGTTACAGGTTTACCTGGGGGGGGGGGGCATTTTTCGGCCAAAACCTCCTGTTTTTGATAGGTCGTGACGCTCGCCTTCAAAAAACACTGTAAAAAACAGTACGGAAGACACCTGTTCGTGAACGCGCCCGTCCAAAATCGGCAAGCGAAAAGTGAAAAAAACCCCGTGTTTTTCAACTTTTTGACCTCAATTTTTTGGTTTGCAACATCTTTTTTTGCGGTTCCGCAGGTGGCCGGGCCCGGAGGCGGATTTTTGAGTTTTTGGACCCGTTTTCGGACTGATTTTCGTCGTTTTGTGATAGCAGAAACACTGGTTTTTACAGTGTTTTTCTGTTTTCTGCATGCTTGACGGCTAGCTTCAAAACTTCCAAAAACCTCGTAAATTACGCTGTTTTATGTTACGGTGTGAATGAAAACATCGTAAATACCAGTGTTTTTTGACGTTGGTTAAAAAAACACTGTAAATTACAGTGTTTTTGGCCACCTGACCCTCAAAAACCATGGTATTTGCAGTGGTTTCTGCTTCTCACCGCGCAAAAACACTGTAAATAACAGCAATTTCGCCGTTTTTTTCATTTACGATGCGGTGCGGGCGGTTGCCGTCGCGAAGCGACGTGAATATCATAAAGTATGCCTGCCAAAGGTCATACCAGTTCGGTTTACCGTAAAAGAGATCAGGGATCAGCAAGTAGAGGACTGGTATGCAAACAGCCAGCACCATGCCCAAAAGGACCTGGCAACCAAGGACAGGTGAAGTGGTGCCATATGGTCATCATATGGTGCCAGATACAAAACCTGGGAATTGTCTATGCATCCTGGATCATCCTGGCATCAGGTCACCAGGTCACACCCGAAATCAACCCACGTCGACCCACGCCGACCCACCTGGTGCAACGACATCTTCTGAATCATCCTGAGCCGCTGGGGCTTCGCAATGCCACCACGACCATATGGGCACCAAATGGCACCAAGCTTTGTGGGAAAGTTGTGGAAGACCACGGTGGTCCCATGCCAGCACCAAAAAAAAGTTTGGCCATGAGTTCCCTATGGTTTCCATGGGGGTTCTCCCTGAAAATCTGTCTTCCAAATCCATTCTCCAGGATCAGCCCTTCACAACAGCACCCATTGTTGCTGCCTGAAGAAGAAGGGAAAAATGGCCCAGTAGAGCACCAAACAGGACAGGAACCAACACCTGGGAGGGCGACATGTTTCATTGCGGGGGAGAAAAAAAAAGAATCTTGCAAAATACACAAAACTGAGCCACTAGGTTCATTGGCCAAACATGGAAGCGATCTACTTCATCTTGAGCCAACTGAATTAAGGGAGTCAGCAGTACAAGTTTTGGTAGCAAGATGAATCTAAGCTGATTTCATTGATTACCGAAAACTTCAGCCGAGTGTTCCTGAGACTTCCCAGGGGTTTGGAATCAAAGCCCACCTGACGTTTAGCCTCACCAAGAAACTGCATCTGGAGACCCCATTCGGTGATGACCGGCACCCAAGCTTGTAGCAACCACGCCTCGATCGTGCCAAGCAAAGCGTGCCAAACCCCTAGCCTTCTCCGGCCCACTGGGCCCTGAATCCCAGCCTGCAGCACTAAGACCCAAGGGGGTGGCCCTTGCGAGGTCAACAATGCTGCGACCACAAGGCCAAAAGCATAGACCGGATAGATTGTAACCTCGATCCACCCGGCACATGAATCCACCCCACTTCCCCACCTTTCCGCAGCTGGGAACCACCAACTGTTGGAGGTTTGGTCGGACTACGTAAGGGGGCTCTTTAGGCTAGTTCAGACTGAAGAATTCTAAAGGTCCAAGTTGCTTCCACTGAAATGATGAAATTAGCCGATCGGCATCTCAACAGTAAAAACCATGTGTGGATGATAGGCAAAATCAAGGCCCTTGATCAAGGCTAGCAAGCACGAAGCACGGTTTTCTGCATGGTTGAAAATTCTTGAACGGATTTGCTGGGTTGGCTCCATCCTCCAGATTGGTTGCCGCACCAATCTGCGTGCCACATACTCCACGGACCCCTCCTGAGCGGGAAGACTGGAGGCAATGAAGGTCGAGACATTGTTTCGGATTGCACTCAGATCCGTTCCAGAGAAATACAAACCTGGAAATCAACTTGAATGAGACTACAAAGCCCTAACAGATTCTGAGTTGAGAAAGCCATTGGTTAATGGCGCTGACATTCCAGGCTAGATGAAACCACCCCAGCTACAAAGGGCACCCTGGGCACCCTGCCTGTCGAGGATTCTTGAGCTCGGCAGCACAAAGGATGAAACCGCTAAGCATGAAGAACCAGGGCACCCAGGTGTATCCCCACGTGTCCATGTACCTCAGACCATGGCACTGAATCCACTGAACATCTGCAAGTCTTCTGCTTCACAAACCTTGGAGATCGCCTCCGTCGCGGAACCCTCAACACTCACCAAAACGTGAATGTCAAATCAGAATTCATGCGATATAAGAATGAATATGATTTATCATTATTTATCATCATGGGGTCACAGTGGTCACAGGATACATTCATTCAATCAGATGGGATTTCCAAAGCATCAACGGTGCAGCCCAGCCACACACTGTGTGTCAGGGCGCCTCTGGCATTGAGATGCCCCAGCACCACATGCAGCGATGCCACGTATCGCGCCAAGCCAAAGGCGAAGCGTTGCGGCGTCCGTGGGGCCGACCGTGGACACCGAGCAGGAGCTGGTTGCACCGTCAGCACCACCGCCTGGAACTCATGGACCTCTTGGCTCGACTCAGACGTCGACCCCGGCTCCTGTGGTGCTCGTGGACGTGCTGGTGCTGTTGGTAGATCCAGGTCTCAAGTCACATCTGGAAACAGTGTGCAGGATGTTCAGGTTCCATTGCAAGTTCCATGCATTCACCAGAAAATGCTAAGGTTTGAACCCTTCAATGCCTCATATTACGTAACATTACTCCGCGTTTGAACACCGTGAAAAACGTCTCTGTTTCTTGGCATGTGCTCCTCCTGTTGCTTGGTGTTCAGCAGTGCATAGTCACTGGTGAGGCTAACCTGCAGGGTTAAACTAAGGCTCTGCTTGGAAGTGCTTGGCAAAACCAGACCTTGGGCATTCACAGAAAAGACCTTAAAAATGCTCGTAATAAAGTGTTAGATTCAAGTCATGAAGCCAAACGGAAAGCGGCATTTTGCATTGCAGAGCCCCACAGAGATTAACAAAAATGAAAAACGGCTGCTGAGACGGAAATCTAACCCTTGATGGGCAAAGCATCTTTGGACGGATCTAAACGAGAAAATTGACCATTTCCAGCTTAGACTATCAAAGGGGAACTAAGATTCATGATGGGTTGGCCCAAGATCTGCTCAGATTTGGGTGTATCAAAATTCCGGAATTTGGTAAAATCATGTGGTAAACATTGGTAAACCACTGGAGTTCTCCCCTTTCCCCCAGGGTTTTGAGGCTTTTTCCCATGGTTTTCCCATGGATTTTTTTCCGGGTCACCGGGTCACCTCAGTGGTGACACTGGAGCCCAGATCTGCCATGGATTCATCCACGTCGCACAAAATCTTCTTCAGCTGACCTCTGACAAAAAGGAGGGGAAGGATATAACATATACATATAGCTATATAATATTAGGCTATTATTCACATATGATGTGTATATATATATATATTATGATAATATAACTATAATATGTATGTGCTAATATATGTAATATAATCCATCAGCCAATATATATATATATCATATATAATATAATATATATATGTATAACATAATATATGATAATATACGCCGTTCATATCAATGTCTGGAAAAAATGGGGTAGAAGTAGAAGTGACAGAACAAACAAAATGTGGGAAATTCAAACAAGGAGGCGATACTTCTCTTCTCTGTTACCTTCGCGGATATACTCAAACCACCCATTTAGACAAGTATTCAATTCGGGCAAAGACAGAGACAGTCACCCAGTCACCCCTCGCTCCCAGTGGGGCTGTGGAGGGTGACTGACTCCGACGTGGGGGGTGATTGACTCACTGTGGTCTGACTCTGCTAGTGGGTGACCGATTCCGTCTGGTCTCTATTCAATGCCTCATGGAGCCTTTGGACTGCATACAACATGCACATCGTACAGCTAGCGGTATTGGGATGTGGCATGTGGCCTCAAATTCAGCCAAATTGAGCTAGAGGGTAGCTAGAATGCTGCAAAGGAGGCATGCATAGTGCTTGTTGTTTATGTATACAACAAACGCGGAATATAGCATTTAATATACAATATGAATCAATATGATATGTATAGGAACAGAAATCAGCTGCAATGAGCCATGTCCAATCCGCGCCCTTCTGTTGACTCTGTTGATCTCCGTCCAAGGTTCCATCTACTTGCCATTGACCGTCCAGGTAGGGCGGATAATTCTTGTCCTCCAAAGATTCCTTCACCTGTCACTGCAACCCGTCCGCGGCGAATTCTAATTCTATGACCATCGGATCGGAGGCTACTTTCACCAGAACACCCATACGAGATCACACGAGTGTCGTTTATGGATCTGCCTTTTGTCAAAAGACCTCCAAATTGCACGAATGTGCTTGATATATTCCTCAAGTTGGAGATCAAGAAACCAGCTCGTGGCCACACACCCCATTCCTCACGGTTACCACCTATTCACCACATTTCAGTCACATGCCAAAGGGCCTTCAAGCTTGGAATCAGCCAATCAAGCAATTCATCAGCACGGGACACCTGTCTATGAGGATGCAAATCTTAGGAAACAAACAACCCCCGGTGCACGTCAAAGAGACTTTCATGGTGGTTGAGGAATCAAAAGGACACCGTGTCGTATGCCTAAAATCTTTAACTTGGAGAATCTTCGTTCATGGGCTTGCATTGTTCTGATTCCGTCCGTACATCCAGTACATCCAGCATTGCCGACCCATTACACTTATTGTCATGATCTGTTAAAGTCAACGTCATCTTGGAACAGAGTGCTACAAGTAGCTGCTCGAAAATCAGGCCAGCCGCTTTCTGGCTCGGCCGGCTCGGCGCACCCCACCTTCAAACAACAGCTGGCGTATCTCACGGCCAAAATCGCCAGGCAGAGATACAGGGTCATCAGGATCCACTTGGCCATCTCATGATCCTCCCGGCAATGGGTAACAGCAATGGGTGATTTGGCCCGAGAAAAAGGCAACTCAAGTTGGATCTATTCACTTCATATGAATAAAAGGTACATAAAGGTACCAACATTTTGAGATCCAATGACTAAATTTGAAACAAATTGGACCAATGATATTTGGATCAATGACATCAATGACCACATTTTGCCCACATGTTTCCCGTTTGACCGCTGGAAGTCGTGATCCCATCATGAGCACTGATGTTTCAGAGCGCTCAAACATGATGCCCTAGCCTAAATGGCTTCCCACTCCGGAATCAGGCCAAGATTTTGTGGTCTGAATTAGGCTTTCGCAATCAAAATTTGGAGACTGTTTCACTGGTTACAATCAAAATCAGTGATGTTTGTCCCTTTTCCCGCCCTTTTTTCGTGCTTGGAGCTCGCCTGTGGCGCGCTGTTCACGGCCTTCTGCGTGACCATAAAGAGGTTGCCCGATGGCATCCCTCCATGGGACACCGAGTGGGCTTTTGGAGGATGACCTTGGCAGATTGGGTCGAAGCAAATGGCTACCCCACATCATGAAGAAAGCGTCTTGTTGAGTGTTACTGTAGATATATTAATACTATGTAGTAGTAATTTGTAGAAAAGTCGAAATATTATATATATTTGTTTAATGATGTTGTACATAGAATTATACAAATGCTTATCCTCTCTTGGTTTGGTCTTCAAGTAAATGTGTTCATCACTGCTGGCATCTTCCCAAGACTGACTCTGAAGCTCCTCAAGGGATCGGGAAAATTCGTGGGAAGGCAGCTATTACCCTTGCCTGCTTGGCAACTGCGTACATATTCCCATCTGCTTCCAACGCTTCTCTTTTCACCACGACAGCTTTGTCTCTGGCATTCTTCAATCCACGACTGGTCGTGTGACGCATTTGCAACCATCAACTACCTACATATTTTCCAATGAAGAGGCTTCTCCAAATGAACAGCGGCCCAAGCCACCTGCCATCGATAAATCATCGACAGCTGGGGCAGGCTCCACCGTTATTCGTTACTCATTGAACGAAGACCTCGGGTATGAATTCAATAGTAATACATGCAACCATTGGCGGTTGTCAACCCTGGCGTGCATGGCACGAAAGCTTAAGTCCCAGAGAGGCGGAAGCAATGAGAGTTTTCAAAGTTGAAGGAACTCAGCTTCCCTCAGGGAACATAAATCCAGGGTGTCAACTCTCCTCAGGTCACTGAGGTGCTTTCGGCCCCTTACTTTGGGCAGGCCATCATGTGATGCTCATAGAGACGCAAACTCAAGTTCATCAAACGCTCATCCGCAGGCAGCTCCTGGCTAAAAAAAATCC